GCCTCCAGTGTTGCTCGCTTACCGGCAAGTCTCGCACAGTTAATAACCGTGTGTTCTGCCGTCTCCTCCAGCTGTCCTTGGCAGTGCGTGCAGGTGTCGTCTTCCTCGTGGCCGAATCTCCACAAATAGCTCCGGAGTGTGGAGGGCCTCGAGGAGGGTCCTGCCTCTGGCATTGGTGAGGGAGCTGCCCCAGTCCACCGCCCAGGCGTTAAAGTCTCCGGCTATAAGGGACGGAGTGTGGCCCCTCGCGTCGTCCCCAAATTCCGCGAGCGACATGCTCGGTGCCAGGTAGACACTGTATATCCACCAGCCTGCCATCTTGGCACATACTAAGCCTCTCTCTGAGCGAACGTCAGCTATTCGCTTAGGTGTGTTGCCGCAAGACCTCAAGGCAGCTTTGCCAGAGCTGTGCACCGCCCAGTGTGGGCCAGGGCCTACCCTGTACGGCTCACTGATAGCGGCAACATCGACACCGCGTTCACGGACCGATTGCGACAGCAAATCGTTTGCTGCCGCGCAGTGGTTCAAATTCAGCTGAACCACTATCATGCCCTTTTTGATTTTGCTGCTCTACGCGACGTCACTAAGGGGCAGTGGCGGCTGCCCTCCTGGTGATTCGTGTCGCTACGGTTCGACTCCGCGCATTTGAAGCAGCGTGGACTGTTGTTGCAGGCGGCTATTAAATGGCCCTCCTGGCCACACCTAAAGCAGGAGCTGCTCCTGTCGGAGGTGCTGGTGCATCTGGCCGCTATGTGCCCTGGTTCCATGCAGCGGAAGCATCTGGGACGAGAATCTATCACCTTGATGCGACATCTCGTCCAGCCGATTTTCACCCTCCTCAGACTAGCTATGGAACCAGCCACAGTCTCTGCGACGGAGATCGTTGCCACCTGACCTCCACTTGCGAGGGAGAGGATGCTCTTGAAGGTAACGGAACCAGGTGGGAAGTTTGCCTGTGAGCTCTGCCGTAAGCTCCTCCCTGGATACCAGCTCGTCCAGGTCCCGGATAAGGAATGTAGTCCGGGGTGACACAGTGCGGATCGGCAATCCTCCGCCTAGCACACTCCCAATCTGCTCCTTCAGCGCGGAGAGCGAAGGTCCATAGGACTTTTTCAGCTCTATTAGGAGCTCGCCCTTTGCCGTTTTCCTGACTCTGGACACCTTGTCCCCAACTCCTGCCATTCTGGAGTCCTGGGTGCGCGTGACCCTGCTCAGAACCTCGCTGTTGGACATCTCCGCCGCGGGGGTTATGATGATCGCATCGTTTCTGCCCCTCTTTCGGTCCCTTTGGCGCATGGTCGCAGACCGCGCATTCGGTCCGGAATCGCTGTCATCACGCTTTTGCGCTCTGTGGGCGTTTTAGGTGGGGACCCTGAGTGGGAAGCGCGTGCTTGTGCGACCGACGGGGGCCGCACCAGGGTTACTGCTTGCGGGACGAGGACGACCTTTGGGGGAAGTCTGCGCTGATTTCTCCGTAGAGGGCCGGGCCCGAGTCATCAGTGGAGCAGTCTGGCTCCACTAATCTGCCACTGCGATGGCATCGCCAGCGGCCCTATCCTTACCCTCTAGCAGCGAAAACTTTTCCTGGAGCTCCTTCAGCCGCGCGAAGGCATTTTTCATGGCCGGGTTGATGCTTCGGACCAGCGATGGGCACGCCGTGGCTCAATTTGCTGACACTGCTCAAACAGTTATCTTTTTTCGGAGGCGCCAGCATGTCGCACAATTGCAGACGCACAAGTGCAGTGCTCGCGATCAGCGAACCGTGAAGATTTACAAAAACAACCACACTGACCTTTGACGCAGGTAGCGAGCACATCGCCACGGTCCCGAGTTTGCAACAACAAAACACAAGCGACCAAACTCGCACATCGTAACAAAAACAAGAACAATTTTAAAGGCTAACGTTGACTTCTGCACTAAAGAAAAAAGTTTGGATTTCTTTTGCAGTCGTTTTTCTTAGGCGGACATAAATGCACGCAAAAATGGCCGAAGATATTGATCTACTAAAAAAGTTTTTGTCAGTGTATTTTCTCGGCTCGCACATTCTGTGTGTCGCGTGGGTGCGACGGTTCACAAAGCTGGGGGTTGTTGTTGTTTTTTTTTTTTCAGCGAGCTGCTGCTCAAACCGTTAGATCTCGTGCCCATCGCTGCTTCGGACCTTCTGCTCGTTAACCTTGTCTAACAAGTCGTCCAGGATCAAACCCATCTCCTTAATCTGTGGTTTAGGCGCCTTGATCTTCTTTCATGGGTGGGCCGTTACGGGGGCTCTAGGGGAGTCCATTACTCTCTTTGAGGGTGGGGTCGACGAGTTCGACTCCCGACTCTCTCAGGCCGCCGCTAGGTGGGGTCCGCTGCAACTTGGACCGCCTTTGAAAGGCTCCCACATCAATTGCATCTTCACTTGTCGCTGTTGCTAGCGCACCGGCCAAGTGGGCCGCCGGAGCTGCAGTGTGGGTTGGAATGTTGGTTAGGGCCTCCAGAATCCGTGCCCTTGCCGCGAGATCAACCGCGGGTGAATTTCCACATTTGTGGCTGCCACCTGGAGTAATAGTGTTGTTACTCGATATTCCTTTTTTGTGCATTTTTTGCCCAATGCGGGGCTGCATTTTATACCTTCTGCCAAGTGGGTAAAAAACTGCCGGCCACTATGGCACAGACGCAGACCAAGTAGCCGCCCAATGTGGGTCAGACGCTACCTGGGTTTAGGTTAGTATGCAGCTGATACCTGCTGCCAGGCTAGTTCCACTGCCGGCCACTATTTCCCTCCGACTTCTTGATGTTGGGGAATATACCGCCCCGCCTCGGTCGCCAGACCCCTTTTTTTGGGTGTACCGCCAGGGCGGAGGGGATGGCAGTCGGTCAGATCCGTGACCTTTTCCACCATTTGGCAACGTGAGCAAACCTCAATTCGGACGGAACATAGCCAAATTCCGACTCCTTGCCAAGGACTTCGGGCAGCAGCCCGGGAATGTATGCTACGAATTTCCGCATCGATCGTTAGCTTAAGCAGCTTCTGTCACGTATCAGGGTTTTTACCCCGTAGGTGACGCTAATGTGCACATGTAGAGTGCCGCGGCGCTGCAGTGCTGACACACAGCTGCATTGCGCTCGCTTCACTACACTGCTCGCCAGCTGATCGAGCAATCAGCTGGCGTGACCGACACAAATATGTGGGGGCATCCACGTTCGACCCACAAAGAGAGTGCGGCATCGAAAGAGAAGAAAAGAAAAGGTTTCGGAAGAAAAGATCCCCTCTTACCCCTGGCCATCGCCCATCTCACCGGAACATTGGGGCACAGAAGTGCCCTCCGCAGGCCGTAGGAGTCGTGCCTCGACAGGTAAGTCTGGAGACTACCCTCACACTGCATCCTACGTACTGCTACCACTTGTTTCCCCAAGGGGCACTGCCACAGCACGAGTCTATGTCGGAGCACCCACGCGGGCGTCCGTTCACCTTGACTTCACACACAATTTCGGTGTGTGTGTGGGTTTTTTTATATACGTTTATTATTTATTAACTACACTTAACAAATACTATACAACAAACTAGGCATTGACGGGGCCAAGGGCCCGCATTGTGCGGTACGGCCGCAAAGCAATGCTTCGCACAATGGAAGGCCGCTCAGCCAGTCCGCTCGTTTCGTACTCTCTCCAGCGACCTGAGGGATTTCATCAGCTTAGCTGAGAATTCCGCCACCGCATCCCACGTCCTTTGATCCGACAGCATCAACGGCACCAGCGTGTCCACCCTGATCGCTGACCCCGCTACCGCCTCCAGCTCGTCCCTCTCTTCGTCGAATCGGCGGCATTCGAAGAAGACGTGTCCCGCATCCTCGATTATCCCGGATCCGCACTCCGGGCATCCATCCTCCGTGTCGTGGCCGACCTTTTCAAATAGCTGCGGAAGCAGCCATGCCCGCTCAGCACCTGGGTTAGGTAAAAGTCTACCTCCCCGTGCTTCCGCTCCATCCAGGCCTCGATGTTGGGGATGAGCCTATGCGTCCATCGTCCCTTGGGCGAGGCATCCCACCTGGCCTGCCAGCTCCCATAGCTCCTTGCCCTGGCCGCGCTTTTCAGCTCGGCAGTCGTGGCTCTTTCGGGTCCTTGTTGGCTGTGCAACGCAGCGCGAATGTCCGACTTCTCGCGGACCAACTCCTTCTGTGGGACTAGGCCGGCTAGCACCAGTACCGCATCGTCCGAAATCGTACGAAGGGCGCTCGCCACTCGGATGGCACAGAGTCTATATGTTGACTCGACTCCCCGCATGAAGGACTTCTTCTTCGCCGCCTCAGCCCACACCGGCGCCGCATAGAGCAGTTGGGAGGTGACAACGCTTACCAGCAGCCTTCTGGCGTTCGGCTTGGGTCCTCGTGTATTTAGCAACATCCGCCCGAGTGCTCCTGCTGTCCCACTGGCCTTCTTCTGGGCGTACTGAAGATGCTCCTTGAAGCAAAGCCTGGTGTCTAGGAGAACTTCAAGGTACTTCACAGCCCTCTGCGACTCGATCACGGCTCCGCCAACCTGGATCTCGGTCGTTTCCACCTTTTTCCGGCTCGAAATAAGGACCGCCTCCGTCTTGTGCGCCGCTAGCTCCAGACCAGCGCTCGAGAGCCACGATTCGATCGCCTTGATCGCAGCATCCGCCTTAATCTCTGCAGCCGTGCGCTCCTTCGCAACTACCACCACCGCTACGTCGTCGGCGAAGCCTACGATAGTGGTGTCGCTGGGCATCGGGAGTCGTAGAACCCCATCATACATGGTATTCCAGAGCAGGGGTCCCAACCCGGAGCCCTGAGGGACTCCGGCTGAGACTTCGTATACTCTGAAACCCACATCCGTGTCCACAATGAGCACCCTCTGGCTGAAATAGCTCCTAGCTATCTCCAGTAGGTACCCTGGGATGTTCAGCGCAGCGAGGGACTCCAGCGTCCGGTTCCAGTCGGCAGTGTTGAAGGCGATCCATACGTCCAGCGTGACTACTAAGCCGTTTCCGCTATCTCCTACACCATATCGATCGCGTCCAGCGTTGACCTCCCCTTTCTAAAGCCAAACTGGCTAGGAGAGAGGCCCCCTGCCCTCTCGATGGCGGCATTCAGCCTTGCTGCTATCACCTTCTCAAACACCTTGCCAGTGGTGTCGGTAAGGCAGATAGGCCTGTAGGAGGATGGCTCCCCAGGCGGTTTGCCTGGCTTAGCCAGCAGCAGGAGCTTTTGCCTCTTCCATCTCTCCGGAAATGTACCCTCCTGGAGGCATCTGGCGTATAGGGTGGCGAGCTCCTTTGGGTGAAGCGCGATAGCCAGCTTCAGGGCCCTGTTAGGTACTGCGTCCGGCCCAGGCGCCTTTTTGGTGCGAACGCTCCTTCCCGTCCGGATCACCTCGTCCTCGGAGACCTCACAGTCGACGTTGGGGTGGCGCTCCGCACTGGGCTGCGTCATCACCACCGGGGCTCCCCTCGGGAACAGTGCCTGCACTATGGAGTCCAGGGCTTCCGGGTCCGAAGGAGCCGTGCTGCCTGCTTTCAGCCCTTTGACCACCAATCTGTAGGCACCGCCCCAGGGGTCGTTTTCCGCCTCGTCGCAGAGCCGCAGAAAGCACTCTCTCTTTGCTTCCCTTATGGCCAATTTTAGGGCCCTCCTGGCCGACTTGTAGACTTCGCAGCACTCGACCAGTCGAGAGGAGCCACGTGCCCGGGTCATTTGCCTCCGAGCATGGAGCCACTTTGACCGGAGATCGGCTATCTCGTCGCTCCACCAGAATGTTGGCCTTTGATTCCTCCGACATGTCCCTCTCAGCCGCATTCTCTGGTCGCAGGCGTGCTCCAGGGCTGCTGCGATCTGGTTTGCAGCCTCGTTGGCTTCACCCAGCGCCTCGGCTGACATGCCGTCCAGCGCGTTGGCGAATGCCTGGGTGCGCAGCGTGTCCAGCCGGTAGGCTTTCCTGGGCCGCAGCAGTGTGCGGGTGGTCCCCTCCGGCGCACCCACGGTGCATAGGATCGCCTCGTGGTTGCTCCCGGTGTAAGCGTCGCTGACCCACCAGCTGGCGTCATGGGAAATTGCGCTGCTCACAAAGGTCAGGTCGATTATTGAGGCGGCTCCTGCTCTGGCAAACGTGTGCCTCATCCCGTCGTTAAGGAGGACTACGTCCGTCGAGGCAAATGCCTCCAGCACCGCGCGTCCCCTGGCGTTAGTGGAGACGGATCCCCACTCGAGGGCCCAGGCGTTGAAATCGCCTCCGACTACAACCTTGGCCCTGCCACGCATGTCGCTGCATAGGTTGTCCAGGATCCTGCTGAATGCATCCAGCGGGAGACTGGGGGACAAGTAGTAGCTGTAAATGCAAAAGCCGCTGACTTCCGCCCGCATCGGTCGGCTGAAAGGATGTTGGACATCCGCCGCTGTCCGTCGCCACAGAGCCAAAGGGCCGCCTTGCCGGAGCGGTCCTTCGCCCATGCTCCTCCCTCCCTCGCCTTGTATGGTTCGCTAAGTATAGCGACGTCCGCCGCTACCTCGCTCACCGTCTGCAGAAGCAGATCCTGCGCCGCTCTGCAGTGATTCAAATTAATTTGGATCAACTGCATGCAGGCATATGGTTCCCTTTCCCTCTGTTCGAGGCTGGGCAGCCCATGCCGCCTGCCTGGTACCTCGTCTCCTTGCTACCAGCCGCCTTGCACAGGAAACATGATGGCTCCTTGGAGCAATCGGCTGCCTTGTGACCCGACTCTCTGCATTTGATGCAACAGGCACTCCTATCCACCGGGTTCTTGCAATGAATCGCAATGTGCCCGGTTTCCAGGCACCTGAAGCACCTCGGTGGGCCGGACCGTTCACGGATCCTACATGTTGACCATCCGATTCGCACTTCTCCACGCTGAAGGACTGCCTTGCACAGTGGGACGGGCAGACTGACCACCGCCAGCTGCGTCTCTGAGCGGCCACGGCGCATGCTCCGGACTCTCACCCGTTCCGCCTCGAAGTTAAACTGGCCGGCAATAGTGGCGCAGACCTCCTTCTTCGAGGTGATAGAGTCGACGTTCCGTACCTCCAGAACCAGCACTTTCGTGTCCTCCGTCGACGCACGCACGGTCGCGGAGTCACCGAGCACCATCTCGATGCTCTCCTTCATCTCCTCGGCGCTCTCAGCACTCCCTTTTGCCACCTCTAGGAGCAGGTTGCCGTTGTTGGTGGGCCGAACCTTTGAGACACAGGCGCCCAGATCCGACAACTGCTTGTCGTCCCTCCTGGCCACCATGGCTAGTACCTCGCTGTAGGACTTGCCGTTTGCTTGCACGATGACAGCATCGGGTCGTCCACGGCGCGCTGCCCTCAGCTTCTTGGCGACTACCCTCCATTCACCAGTGGGCTTTGCGGGGTTCTCAAGGATCCGGGCGGCGGTGTGTGCCTCGGCGGGCTCTGAGTGGGCTCCTTGAGTCCTTTTTCGGGGCTTCCTGGGCCCCTTCTCGCTTCCCTGCTGCGTTGCGCCGGCTGGTTTAGGGGCAGGCACAGGCGCGGGTAGTTCCGGCCAGTTTGGATGACTAAGCCTACGCCAGGGCTCTGTTTGGGCTGTAGCCTCCTTCTTCCCGACGGTCGCTGTCTGCTGCTCCTTGTCGGCTCTGCGTGTGCTCTGGGCGCATTTTGGGCACAGACTGGTACCGACCTCGCTCTCCTGCTTTTCTTTGCTCCCTCGTGGAGACGGTAATGTGGCGCGTCGTCTTATCCATCATTTTGGTGGAGGCTTCCTGCAGCAACTTCCCCAGCTCCTGGAGATCCTGCAGGCTGGCTGCCTCCTCTGACGCCTTGCTCCTCTTGGCCGGCGTAGTTTTATGCGAACTCGTCGGGCTCGCAGGATCTCGCGTCCTCTTGGGGGCGGCGTAGAGCTTGACCCAGGGCTCCGCCCATCTTCTAGGGGTTCCAGCACTGTGGGCGATCGGGAGACCTTACAGCTCCTCCTGAAAGCCTCTGCTTCATCCCCTTCCCTCTCTTGGCATGGCGTCCTCGCTAGATCCGAGCCGCAAACAAAGGGATTTTCATCCTTCTCCATGGCCGGCTTGTCGGCCCGCGCAGGGCTCCCACGCTGGCCAAGGATTTCCCCCTGGCGCTACGACGAGGGTTATACCGCCCCTTCTCGGTCCCCGACGTCCCTTGTATGGGAAACCGCTTACGCGGGGGATCGGACTTTGGTCGGCTCCGTGACCTTTCCCACCTGCCAACTGCGCAGCCGTGCACGTCTTCAGGGAATAAACTATATTTATCTAATTAAATAAATAAATATATGTGCCAACGTTTGAAAATTTTGTACGGCGGGAAAAGCTTAAACCACGCGTGTTTACCAACACTGGAGATGTTGTGCTGTTAAGCGCAGCTCACTCCCCTGGCGTTACACAACACTAGACTTGATCAAAATCAGCTGTGTTTACGTTCTGAAGAAACGCGGGGAAAGTGGCTTGTGGAAGGTGTAAGGAAAAAGTGGAAAAGTGAGAGCAAGAAAGGCGCTTGTGCTGAGGAGAGGATAGGAAAGAGTCACCCCCCCCCCTTGCCACGGGTCCCACCGGTAGAACAATCGCCCACGTTAGTTGGGCAACTGGGGAAACTTCAGTTCAGATCCAGAAGCAGCACCAGGTACGTACCAGGGTCCAAGGAGTCTCGCACTGCACTTTTGACCAATTTCAGGCTAACTACACCCCGGCACCGACCGAAAAAAGGACAATAAAGACGGAGCGCGGTAAGTAACACAACCTCACGTTTCTTTGGTTCTGTGTGTGTCCGGTGTGTGTGTGGGTGTGAATGTGTGTGTGTGCGTTTAGCTTATTCTAATTTTACGCCTAATTCTAAGCTTAATCTAATATTCATACTATTTACAAAATATTTACATCTTTGTGACGACAATTTGCGTCGTCACAGTATTAATTATTTCGTAGTGTTGGCCCTGTTTATAATTTTCCCCTTTTCCCTGCCGCGCAGACTCCGCGAATATTGCGTTTCGGTACATCCACCCGCACATATTTGCTGTAGTCAAGCCTTCTTTCTTCTCCACGCGCCCCCTCCCTGCTCCCGCAGCCGCAGTGACACGCCCGCATTGGTTTTCCATGCCCAGCGAGCCACCACGACTGAGAGTGTATCCGCTTCCCTGCCCACGACCAGCCGGAGTACCATTAGTTAGCCTCCGCGACCAGCCGGAGTGACCCTGAGCTAGCCTCCGTGACCAGCTGGAGTACCATTAGTTAGCCTCCGCGACCAACCGGAGTGGCCCCTGAGTTAGCATTCGCGCCCAATCGGTGTCGACCCATAGCTAGGTGACGCAATCTAGCACAGGAGTGGCAAGCTTAATGTCGTTCCCGACGCTTTGCTCAGGGTTAATGTGAAAGCTTTGGATGTCGAGCATGGGTTGTTTGTGGACATGGATTTCTTGTACAAACGGATGGAGCATGATACTGGGGAGCTAATTCAGGACTAATTTAGTTGGAAGCTGTGGAGCCAGCAAAGCCTGATCAAGGAGGTATTATAAAACGCTCATGACTATCCTTTAACATCCCATGGTGGGATCCACAAGACTCTGGACTCTCTGGACTCTGTGAAGGATGTAAAGGCATACTTCTTAGGGTGTGAGATCTGTAAGGCTACTAAGGCTCCGAATATCATACAGAGACCCCCAATGGGAAATGCTCCGGAATCCAGTGGATTCTTTCAAAGATTTTTATGTGGACTTTTTAGGTCTTTATCCTCGATCTAGAAGGTGTCATATCGGTCAAATTTTTATTGTCTTGGATCATTAATCCAAATACGTATTCTTGGAGGCAATAAAAAAGCAAACTGCAGAGATAATTACCAAGTATATGGAGCAGGAATTGTTCCATACGTTTCATCTCAGTCATCTCGAATAGGCCACACACTCACAGCTGTATACTCGCCGCAAGCAAATGCTTCGGAACGAGTTAACCGATCTGTGATCGCGGCCATCAGGTCTAATGTGAGGCCGAATCAGAAAGACTGGGACGAAGAACTTAGCAGGATTTGTTATGCTCTAAGAACAAGTGTCCATTCGGTTATAGGAGCATCACGTACTACATGTTCGGTCAGCAGTTTATAGGCTCTGAAGCAAATTGTTAAGGGCTCTAGGATGGCTCTTTGACGTTAATCAAGGAAGACTCCATGGATATAGCGCGTGCCAAGGCTCGCGAGGTTTTGCAAAAACAAAACGAGAAAAAAGGGGGGGCTATATAATCTGCGGAGCAGGCGAGTATCTTACACTGAGGGCCAAGAAATATTTAGGAGAAATTTTAGGCAAAGCAATTTCCCAACTCTAAGTTGGGTAGATGTTAGATGTCGGCTGTGACCCGAAGGAGGGCAAGAGCTAGGGAGAGGGTTCCCGCTGGTTTCGAGGCGAAGTCTGCATTTTTTTATTTTTTGCAGTAGAGCTTAGCAGATCGGTTTTCTGAGGGAAAAATCCACAAGGAAAATTTCAAAAACAGTATTTGCGAGTAAAAGCTGATTTTTATTATTCCCTACAAAAATTATTATTATTCTTTAAAAAAAATTAATGCCGCGATCTAATTGAATTAATTTAAGTTATTCCTAGGTAAAAACAAAGGTATATACATTTTTATACCCTTGCAGGGTATTATAATTTCAGTCAGAAGTTTGCAAACGCAGTGAAGGAGACCTTTCCGACCCTATAAAGTATATATATTCTTGATCAGCATCAACAGCCGAGTCGATCTAGCCATGTCCGTCTGTCCGTCTGTCCGTCCGTCTGTCCGTTTCTACGCAAACTAGTCCCTCAGTTTTAAAGCTATCTGAATGAAACTTTGCATATAGTCTTCTATATACTCTCACTGCTATATATGTCGGAAAGGGCCGGATCGGACGACTATATCATATAGCTGCCATACAAATGTTCTATATATTTTTAGAAAAAAAATTATAACTTTGCTGTTTTTCAACATTTTTGCACCAGATATGGCCATTTTATATTATTTCAGAATTTTGGTAAAAATTTTATGAAAATCGGACGACTATATGATATAGCTGTCATAGGAACGATCGAGAAATAAATAGGAAAAAAATTATAGCTTCGTTGTTTTTCAACGTATGTTTATCTACTCTGAGATATAAGCTTATTTTATTATTCTAGAATTTTGGTAAAAATTTTATGAAAATCGGACAACTATATCATATAGCTGCAAAAGAAGCGATCCGTAGATGTAGAGAAATGTAAAGCTGGGAATGTATAACTGTAACTATCAAACTGTAAACATAATAAGTATAGGTAAAATGTAATGAAACTCTGTTTAGTGTCTGTTTTTGGCATTATAATTTATAATATAAATATGAAAACCAATCTGCAAGGGTATACAAACTTCGGCGTGCCGAAGTTAGCTTCTTTTCTTGTTTTAAATATATTTTTTTGTGCAAAGTGAAAGGAATAAGGAATGAAATTGTGAGCAACTAGAAAAAAGGAAAAGAAAAGAGAAAAAGGAATATGGCGACTCAGAACAAAATTTTCGCCAATTAGTTTCTGTTTGTGATTGTGGTTCGATTTGAATTTCTTTATTTATCGTGAGTGTTAGGTGCGCATATATTTTCTATCCCCCCTTCACAGCTAGCCTCGCCGAAAGCGCTTTCATCGATGGATCAGCAAAAGTGGTAAGTGAGAAAAATGGGAAAATGATCCTAATTGTAAGTGCTTTAAATATCCATGCCAAGCAATAGATAACCGAAGAAACAAGTAAAAGAAAATTAAATAAATTAAAGAACTCAACTCCCGAATAAGGCAAGCTGCCAAATTTTTGTTTTTTATCCCACTGTGCGCAGCATAATATCTCCAAACTGAGTAAATGAATATAACCGAACCTTATTGTTGTTGTAAAAATTTGCTATTTTGGTAAACGAGTTTCACAATCTTTTCATTCTTTCTTTTTTTGCCACGCGTTCAAATAACTGAATTAATTCCTTAAAAAGGGGTAATCCCAAGTTTTATTAAATTTAAGTAAAAACATACAATTTTGTACTGAAATTATGTTTTGTTTTCATTTATATGTTCATTGTTATGTTTAAGCTAGTAATAAATTTAATTTTTTTTTATAATGTGCTAAAAAGCTTTAGTTTTATTGCCTCCACCAGCATGCCGTACCAGTCAGTAGCCAGTATTTTTTTTTTAAGAGGTCATCCAAGATCATATTTAGGATTGGAGCAAATGACCAAAGGTAGGGAGGGCTGATGGTGAACCTTAACAACAACATCGAAATTTCCGATGTTTTTAAGCGAAAACATCGATACATCACGATACATCGAACAAATTTAAAACAGAAGAACAAAAATTTATTTAAGGTTAATACAAGTTAAGGAACTAAGTTAGAGATCAATGTTGCGGTTGATAAATAGTAATTTCTCCACTACTGCAGGCTTAAGCGAACACCTTCAATCCGATATCAGTATCCAGCCTTGCTGAACATGCGGTTCGCTCTCACCACCACCACAATGTTATCCAATCAATATTCGCTACTTTTGAGCAGGGGTCGCAAATTAGAGTTATGATCAATCATATTCTTTCGGAGAGAGAACAACCAACTAGTCTAAAAAGGTTCTCTCTCGCAAATGTTCTCGCTTCTTTGCTTTGATTGCGATTTCGCTTAACTGTAACGGGAGATCGCAAAGACAAAGCTTTCGGGAAAGAAGCGGCATAGAAACTACTCGCTTGCTTCTGAGTCGAATAGAGTGCCTGAGAGAGAGGGAGAGGGATGAAGCACTCGTTTGAGTTCATGCGTACGAAAAATTAAAAATATATTTTACAAACAATTTAACCCTCTAAGCCCCAAGCGAAGAAATATTAAAAACGAAGTTGAATTATATTTTTTGGGGTAAATGGTAGCTTTTAATTTCAAAAATGACCTCAAAAAGTGTGTACTAATTGTAGTTTACCTGTAAATCGAACAGGTGTAAATAAGGTAAATCACTGCTGCAACGCACTATTTCTATAAAATTGCAAATATGCAACTTGATTTGTATTATATAATATCTTACCTTCTAGAACAATAATTTTTATTTGGCTGATTTTGAAGATATTTCACTTTTATTGATAGACAAAAAAACACTAAATGAAGCACACAAATATTTTTGCGCGCGAATGCATGATGCATGTAAATAACACGAAAAAAGTCCCGTTATAAAGCTTAAGAGAGCTTTGAAACCTTCTACTCATAAGTTCACATGTTTATTGTGAATTGACTAGTGTAATTAAAAAATTTAAAAGGCTCCTCGTTTTTTAGATAATACATATTATATAATAAGTGCCTTGAGGCACTCTTGGGTCTTAGAGGGTTAAACACAAATTAATAAAGAAATAAACTCAAGTTTGTGTTAAATGTTTTTTTTTTTTTGTTTCATTTATTATTTATTTTAATAATTTAATTTAATTTAATTTAATTTAATTTAATTTAATTTAATTTAATTTAATTTAAATTAATTAATTTAATTTAATTTAATTTAATTTAATTTAATTTAATTTAAATTAATTAATTTAATTTAATTTAATTTAATTTAATTTAATTTAATTTAATTTAATTTAATTTAATTTAATTTAATTTAATTTAATTTAATTTAATTTAATTTAATTTAATTTAATTTAATTTAATTTAATTTAATTTAATTTAATTTAATTTAATTTAATTTAATTTAATTTAATTTAATTTAATTTAATTTAATTTAATTTAATTTAATTTAATTTAATTTAATTTAATTTAATTTAATTTAATTTAATTTAATTTAATTTAATTTAATTTAATTTAATTTAATTTAATTTAATTTAATTTAATTTAATTTAATTTAATTTAATTTAATTTAATTTAATTTAATTTAATTTAATTTAATTTAATTTAATTTAATTTAATTTAATTTAATTTAATTTAATTTAATTTAATTTAATTTAATTTAATTTAATTTAATTTAATTTAATTTAATTTAATTTAATTTAATTTAATTTAATTTAATTTAATTTAATTTAATTTAATTTAATTTAATTTAATTTAATTTAATTTAATTTAATTTAATTTAATTTAATTTAATTTAATTTAATTTAATTTAATTTAATTTAATTTAATTTAATTTAATTTAATTTAATTTAATTTAATTTAATTTAATTTAATTTAATTTAATTTAATTTAATTTAATTTAATTTAATTTAATTTAATTTAATTTAATTTAATTTAATTTAATTTAATTTAATTTAATTTTAATTTAATTTAATTTAATTTAATTTAATTTAATTTAATTTAATTTAATTTAATTTAATTTAATTTAATTTAATTTAATTTAATTTAATTTAATTTAATTTAATTTAATTTAATTTAATTTAATCTTTTAATTATTTACATTATTAAATGTTTGTTGTCAAAATTGAGGAAATTGTGCAAACAATCAACTGACGCTACGCGAAATGTGCAAATTAACAGCGAGAACTTTCCGCGAAGAGACCGGTCACACTTCAGACGACGAGCCCGCTCTCTCCGCTTCAACCGAGAGAGAATAGAAAAAGGGCCCATGGCAGCGGTTTCGTTGAGAGTTTTCGCAACTAACCGGTAACGTAACCTGAATGTTGAGACTTTTTTGAGAATCGTGACTCAACCCTGCGAGCTCTGGTAAAAACGGACATATAACTTTTATTTTGAAAATAAAAATTGTTAATAACTTTTATTTTAAAAATGGAAAATAAAAATTAAGTTGCAATATATTTTTTAAGTAGTTATTTATTAGTATACTTAATGCTGAACAAAAAACATCGATATTAATATTGATGCTTGAAATGATGTATTTATGTTGGGTATTCTTTTCCAAACATCGATACATCGGTAAAACGTTTATGTATCGTCAAGCCTCTAATTGGGACCCCTGCTCTGGAACGCCATGTACGATGGAGTTCTGAGACTCCCAATGCCAGTGGGCACCAGCCTAGTTGGCTTTGCTGCCCTCAAGACGGAGGCGGTGCTGGTCTCAAGTCGGAAAGTGGTGGAGACAGCCAGCGTGAGGGTCGGTGGGACCACGATACGGTCTCAGCGCCTTGGCGCCTGTGCTTCAAAGAGCACCTGGACTTTGTCCAAAAGGCCAGCGGAACAGCAGGAGCGCTATCCAGGATACTATTAAACACGGCACGGCGGTCAACCGAGACATACATTCTAGCCATCCCACCCCAACGAACAGGATCCTCAAGGCGTTGCGAACGGCATGGATTACGCCGGACGCACGCCATCGACATGGGTGAACTGGCCGAGGGCCATGTCGGAGTACAACTCTGAAGCGTGGCATAGGGTCTATGTAGGGACAGAATTAGTTGCTTTTCTACACCCGTAGCTAGTTAAATATGGAAATAAAAATACAAATAAATGCCACTTCGAGCCACGTGACCGCCCCCGCTAGAGCGTTCTCCACGGGTCCCTTCCGACCTGCAGTTTCAATCCATCACCGCTGGGTAAAGCGGGGCGGTGGGGGGAATCCTGCCGGCCAGAAGATCCCGCCGCTGCTGGGTAACCGAGCGGGCACATGGGACGGGAAAAAAATCGGCCATCGCCGGAGAACTCCCGACTGGACGAAATAGGTTCCCTTCCCTAAACTGGATTCCCTTACATTGTTGTATCTGCCTCCTAGATAAAATATAAAATATTCGCGCATCCATGTCTTTGTCGTCTCATTAAATTTATAAATATATTTTTCTGGAGAGGAACTCTGGGCCGCTGAGGTTTAGCCCGGCCTTAGAAACATCCTTACAAGGTAGTGTCAGAAATACATACTTTATAAAATAACTACGTTTCAGAATGATCTTGCGGTGGTGTGAAATAAACATCAATAGACCACAGAGTAAACTATTTTTTTCTTTTTTACTTTTCATTCAGGGCAGACAAAGGTGCCCGTTTTAAGAATTTAAAAAACGGGAGCACCGATTTTGCGAAATCAAAATCGAAATCGTAAAATTTTTACGAATATTTTTCATTGAACTATGACACTTTAATAATTCTTTAACAACCCACAACAAATTTTCTGTCGCGATTCCTTTCATTTTTATTACATTTATGAGTTTATGAGTATTGTCCCATTCAAATACACAAAAACTTTATAAAAAAAACTCGCAAAGGGTCGACAAAATATTAAATGAATAACATGACTGGTTTATTTTATTTTATTTTTATTACAAATATTTTTTTCTTTATATAATTAATCGTTCAAAGTATATGTATGTTGAGGGCATAAAATAACTTTCATCTACATCAATACAACATCACAGCATTCTTTAGAAACTTCAACTTAAATCTGCAGCAATTATCTTATTGGTGTATATGAAACTAAGAAGTCTCCTCATAGAGGCTACTTAAATTAACGACTTATTACTTAAATAAAAATTTAACGTAAATAACTATATATTTTTGTTCAATTTTTTTTGTTATATTAGTTTTCCAGAGAAAGAAGAATTTCTTACAATTTTGACAACTACAAGCGTTTTTGTTTTTACCGATTTTTAAGTTATCACAGTACTAAAATTGCTACAATTAACAATAATTTATACTAGTTAAAATTTTAAGTATACCCAAAACAGCGATGTGCTGACCAACCAATATGTCCGATCTTGTGTGTAGCAACATTTAAAAGTGCTCGCTAGTGGAGGTATTTAATGGTCTTGTATTATTTTGGCATCGGATCGATCAGGATGAATGTACTGCACCCAGTCTTTTGTGGGGTTGCTACTTGCCGCACTCTCGCGTGACCTGGAACTTTGGATTGATGAAGGCGAGCTGCTAAACACGCTACTGACAAGGCTGGTGGCGAGCTGAAAAAATTAGAATAAGTTATTTATTACAATGGACAACAATAAAACCGGATAAGGTCAAATCAAATTCAATTTTAAAAATTACGGGTATACAATTGTCGTTTTACCAAATATAATTTTTTTTGTTTTTATAATTTCCCTATAGTTTCTATACGAAAGAACTTTGACCTGACTATTTGGAATCTTTCCTTTAGATACCTGTTGAACTTAGAGACTAGTTTGCTTATAAATAGACAGATGGACACAGCAATGTGTAAGCTGACCAAGAATACATATACATACATATACATATGTATACATACGAATATAAATATGAATATACTTTATAGCATAGCTCCCAAATTATGTTGACTGATTCATGCGGTCGCAAAAAACTGTTTTCCTCTCAGACTTAGAGCAGCGAATCCGACAGCACCCAATTGAACTGCTCGTATAAATTCAAAAAGTCTTTTGCGCATGTATGTATATATGAAGTTTCTTCACTTGGCTTTAAGATTAACACAAAGTAACAGGGCTTCAACTTATTTTAAAAATGGGACTTGAATGTAATTAAAATTGCATACATTTTTAAATTTTAATACATTTGAGAATGAGTTAGAATGGAAAATTTCCAGAGCAAAACTTGGGGATATCTTGGGGCAAGAATATACAGAAAAACACCAACGAGTTAATATTTTATATTTATATCTTCTATTTGGGGATATTTGCAGCTTTGGCGTCACATTTTAAATTCCAAATTTAAATTGTTCCTCCCCATCTTTGTTTACATTTTCGTAGTATGTAATTTATAAATTAAATCAATAAAATAAAAGAATTTATAAAGCACCAGAAAGGTTTCTTCGATCGATTTCTAATTCAATCGACATATGTATACATGAATATAAGATTGCAAAGCAGCGTTTCCTTCTTTTCTTGTTTTTACGCTTTTTCGCTTAAAATTTTTATTTGTGTTTTGTTTGCTTTTAAAACTTATGATTAGTATTAAAAGTACTCACCCGGTCGAACACGGCGGTTGATGGTAAACATTCATTTCCCGAATCCGCTTTCAATGGGCTGTTGTGAAAGCACTCAGTGCATACGTCTGTAAGCAGCGTCGTGGACGTTTTCAAATTGCGGCTCAGAGGGATATCGTAGTTGTGGCCATCGTCGCTGCTCTCGGCTGCGTCAGATAACGCAGGCTCCATGTCCAGGGCATAGCCTGAATTTCGGTGCACCTGCTGAAAAACCGAGTCATCGCCAAAGGATCGCACAATCACTGGCTGCTGCTTAGAACGGTCAACTATCAGATTCACCTCGCAGGGACTGTAAACTTGATTAGCTGCCGCGTCGCCGCTGTTTTTGAGCTTCTGGAGAAGATTGACACGAGCGTTGTTACCTTCGGAAATTTTGGCCGACTGGCGTCCATAGCTAGACATATGAAGGGTAGCCTTGCAAATTGCATAGCTCAAAAGACTAACTCCCAACAGTAGAGCGCTCCAAAAACCTAGGGGGTTGACCATCGGTAAAATGTTCAGGTAGAAGTTGAAGCGTGAGTCCAATGAGTCAGGTAGCCTTGGCATCATCTTAAAATGCAGATCTAAATAAATGATTTTCGACCCATTGGTTAAAGGGAAACTTACGATCTCAAACCATAGCATGGGTGCTGTCAGGTGACTAAATTTGGAGACAGCCTGGTAGTTGCGCAAGTCCTTGAAATGCATGTTGATTTGCACTTTTACAGAAAGCGATAGAGGCAGTCCGGATTCCTTAAAAGTCGGTAACAAAAATTATTAATCAAGCTGGTTGGCCGTTAACCGGTGTTGTGTTTCCAAAAGCACTTTCAAATACATGTATACGTCAACATGCACTTCGTGATTTGCCTTCATTTTGTAGCAGGCAATAAGCAGTAAGATAGAGATGGCCACACTAAAGACAGGCAGGCCTGCTCCGGTAATCGTAAAATTTTTTCGATTTCGTTTTGGGCGAAAACGAACCGTTTTCGTTTTTAGCTGCTCCGGTTTTCGGCAAATTTCTGCTATCGGATGTTTCGTTTTCTCATCGTTTCTCACTGCTCAAGCAGCTAGCTTGTGTTTTTGGTAATTAGCAAACAACGTAAAGTACTGCCTATTATATTTACAATTGCCCTTTTTATAAGCCAGAAAAAGGCAAAAAATTGTAGAGTTTAGCAAATCTATGCACCTAAGATGCTGCCACACTTTTCACAGTTTTAATTCCGGTGGTCTCAAATAATTATTTGATTAATTTGGACCATTTAAGTAATCACATTAAATAGCATTAATTATAAACAACCATTTTGGCGGTCCTTTAAAGTTATTAATGTATTCATTTATATTTTATAAGTATTTTTAACTGGCTGTTTCGTTCCACCAACAATATGGCAACCGTGGCGATAACTTTTTGCGGTGAACCTATCGACCTATCGCCAAAACGAGAAAACTGGTTGAACAAGGCAAAAATTTTGTTGTCAAATCTGAGGTGGGGTCAGAAATAAATTTTTTTAAAAATAACTACGTACCAGAATGATCTTGTGGTGGTGTGGAATAAACATCAATAGACCACTGAGTAAACTATTTTTTTCCTTTTGTAAATAAGATCTGATTTCATATAAAAAAAGCCATTTACTTTTCATTCCGGCCAGAAAAAGGTGCCCGTTTTTCAAATCGAAAAAATCTTTCGATTTCGATTACCGGAGCACCAATTTCTCGTTTTCAAAAACGAAAACGAAAAATTCTTGCCGTTTTCGATTACCGGAGCAGGCCTGAGGATCTCTATCTCTCCCTCTCTCTCTGTCAGTGAACACCAGTGTTGGAAATTTGTCCTTTATTAGGACAAATGTTTATTTTTTTTGTTTGCAAAAATTTCGAAACGGATAGTTCTTTTTATTGTGTTGAAGCACTGGCAACCTTGCAACCACCAAGGACTAACAGCTAGCAGCGAGTAAGTTTCGATCAAACTGATGATAAAAGATGAGAGAAAAAATCGTGTTCAATCCTGTCACATTCTGCATACAATTTTTTGAATGCAATTTTTTCATGGTTCCTTATAAAACGTGTAAGAAAGCTGAAGTCAAGGTAGTAGCAGCTGTGGTTACGATCGTTTCGTTGGCGCTACCCAACTCATCAGACCACTTGCTAACTATTACTAATTTTCTTGGTACTTTACCTTCAATCTAAGCTTAGACCCGTTGAGAATCGTAAGCTTTGATGTAAAGGCAAAAGCAAACCCCGAAGCAAGTGGTCTGATGAGTTGGGTAGCGCCAACGAAACGATCGTAACCACAGCTGCTACTTGTCTATTGACAAGTTTTTTTGTTGTTTTTAGCTACAGTCGCGCATTTGATTTTTATTAAATCGAAGCCGACTAAGACCTCAAGTCTGCAATTACGAATGAAAAAGAAGAATTCGGTTAAACAATTTTTAGAGTAAGGTAAGGTATTTTATTTTTTTTTTCGTAAATTTTTAAATCTTCTTTAGATAAATCTACAGGTACTCACGTCGAGCTTTTTTTAGTTTTTAATTTTATTATATTTTTTATTTAACAAATTAACTCATTTTTTGAGTCAAAAATCGGGGGTTTGACTTCAAATTTTGATAAAAAATCGGAAAAATTTTTAAAAATAAAAACGCTACGTGAATATCTCGGGACACTTATCCATTACCGAATGAAGTATAATTTTTGTAGATCGGATGATTTTGTGGACAGTTAGGAATCCTAACTTAGGATGTACACCGCAAACCAACTTTTTTTGGAGGCGACTCGGGAGATTCCCTATAACTTCTCTACCTCTAAATATTTTGAATTACAAAATTTATCAAAACTATTCAAATTTTGTGTTATTATATGGTTTTTAATTCATTAACCAAACTTTAGCCGTTTAGCCGATGGCATGCACACGGGAATCATGGATCAATCAGAGGATGTTGCGATGAAACAGAGAGAAAAATTGAAAATGCAACGGCAGATATTTTGAGCGGAGGGCACCACCGGATCCTGAAGAAGCGTTTTCGACTGAGGAAAGGGATTACGGTGCGGTATCACACCGCTCCGAAATGAGGGGGGAGTGTGACGCTCCACTTATGTCTCTATATTGGTAGACCTTAGGGCCTCCACATACGTCTCTATATTGGTAGACCTAGGGCCTCGATATACTTCTCTATATCTTGATAGACCTTAAGGCCTCCACAAACTTCTCGGTATTGGAAGGCCTTACGGCCTCCGCATACGTCTCTATATCTTGGTAGACTTTAGGGCCTCAGCAAACTCTTAGATATTTGAAGACCTTAGGGCCTCCACAAACTTCTCTATATTGGTAGACCTCAGGGCCTCCACAAACTTCTCGATATTGATAGACCTTTCGACCTCCAGAAACTTTTTCATATTGGTAAACCTTAGGGCCCCCACAAACGTCTCGATATTGGAAGACCTTAGGGCCTCCGCACACTTCTCTATATTGGTAGACCTGAGGGCCTCTACTAACTGGTGCACCTGAGGGCCTCCACTAACTGGTAGGCCTTATGACCTCCGCTAACTGGCAGACTTTAGCGCCTCCACTCTGAGGGGCATCCGCACAGTGGCTTTTTACCGACACTTTCGACCAGAGCAAGAAGGATGTACCTGGCCGTTAAGTGCAGCGTTCCAGAGCAGCTACCGTGGTCAGCAGACTTAACCCAATCTTTCTAAACTTTTGTTATATTCGAGACAATAAACATCTTATTAGAGTTACGGCATATTTCATGGCGTTCTACTCTGGGGCCGGGTCGACATCGCTTCAGCAACCACCTCGGACTAAGAAAATACAACTGGAGACGATCCCTGGCCATCCCTGAGTCACCGGAAACAACAAATCGTCTCACCTTATCAAGCCAGGCATTTCATTAATACAGATATAAAGTTTGGATCATCTGAGAAGTCTCAAGTGCCATGTCTCCCGGTTCTACGCAACTTAGTCTCTCTCAATGACACTTTGTATATACTCAACATTCTTTTCTCATTATTCGGAACGGGCAAAATCGGACGACTATATAAAATAGCTGTCATAAGAAGAATGCGAAAAAAATTATAAAAAAAGATAACTTCTATTTTCTTATCATGATTTCATAAAAATTTAACTATTTGATTATTGTAGAATTTAGGTTTTAATTTTATAATTATCGGATCTGAAGGAAAGTGTCTGCAAAGGTCGGTTTTTATAAAAATCTTCTAAAGCATTAAATAACAAACTACCTTTTTTTGGGAAAAATATTTTATTAATTTTATATTTTTCTACAAAATCCCTATACTACTGATTGACTAAATTTCTAAAAACATCGACTAAGTATCGCTTTAGTTAGCCGATATTTTCAACTGAAGACCTAACTGCTAAAAGTATAGGCTAATTATCGTGATACTTTGCCAATGTTTTCAGTAATTATGTCGTCAAAAAAAAAATACCCCAACTGAATTACTGAATTCATTTCACAATAAAAAGCTTTAATTTATACGAACCTTGTAACCTTGGCTTTTCAGTCATTAAGTTTATATTTTCAGCGAATGACTGAAAATATCGTACAAGCAGTTTAAATAGGAACAGCTGCTTTTAGCTTACGATATTTTCAGAAATTTTTGATACAATTTTTGCCCGCTGTAATCTCCAACTCATAGATAGTAATGAAGCACCAATTAAATGAATAAAATCGAAGGAATAAGCATTTACGACTGAAAATAAACATTTTGAAATAATTAATTGCAATCAGCTCTTTTTCATATTCTTTAAACTAATAGCCGATCTTTTAATTGTAAAACTACGTTAAAAGTAATTGTTTGAAATTATTGGTAAATAAATACCTTTTTTTGAACGCTGAACAACCCTTAAATGGTCCCTTTTAAATACAATTAAATAATAATGGAATCATTTTGAAGGTTAGAATCGAACCGAATTTAAGGTGCAACTACAAAATAATTGTTTAAAAATAAAATATATTAGCTTTACGTAATTCAGTTATGCTATAATCTTCATAAAACCTCAAAGAATAAAATATAGTTAACATTTGCCATTTACATGATCGCATTGTATTTTAAATTATTAATTTCTGGTTTTGCGGATCTGAATCCGCCAGCCAAGTGGCACTCGGAAAGTTTCCGAGCGGAGAGAGACGTAACAGACGGAAATACGAATCCTTAAGGATTTTTCGAAAGTGAAAACTAGAAAAGGTCAGGGAAATTCGAATCCGAGTAGTAGAACAGGCCTGAATAATTTTATTCACAAAATAATATGGTTTCAAAAATTCCAAACCTTTGATTTCCGGTGTACTGAACTTTCCATATAATATTAAAAATATAAATTATATTCGAATTTTTATCACAATTGTAAGTTAAAACCATTTTTTTACTACTAATAAGTTAGGTTAGGTTAGGTTTATCCGGACGGGCCTCATGGGGCCATGGGGCCAATATGGCCCTTAGTTATCCGGGGAAATTCCTGGATGGACCTAGAGACTATTTATGCTGGTTTCAAGATTCTTAAAGATCAAGGTGTTCTTTGCAAAGGCAAGGAGTTCGCGTGGCTTCCTCCTGGAGGCATATTCTAGCAATGCCAGAACCGGAGAGCCTAGGTATCTCAGGTTAAGCCCTCGTTAGGGCTGAACATTTGCAAAGATGCTCCAAGATTTCGGTTGCCTCGGTTTTATCACATATCCGTCATTTGTGCGTTGTCAGTAATACCCAGCTTGACTGCATGTGCAGCAGACAGGCAGTGGCCTGTTAGAATTCCCACTACCATTTTTCAGGCCTTCCGTGGAAGATGCAGAAGTGAGTGAGTTTCTCGTTGCGTAGAATAATTAATAAGTTACTTTGTTAAAAAAAATTTTGTGTTAATAAACAAAAGCCGACAAGTACCTGTAGAAAATTTCAACAATTCGATTTTTCAATTTATATCTCAATAATTATCTCCCTAATGTTATATTATATTCTACCATAAGGGGCACAAAGCTTTTGGTACTGTGTATCTTAAAGTCGAGTTCACTTATAGAAGGGTTTTCACTAGTTTTTATTTTTAACTAGCAGTACTGTAAATAGATTATAAACAATTCTTCCCTTCTTCCCTAAAGCCGGAAATGTGAATATTCAATTAATAAAATTATTAATAAATACCCTTAATATCGCTTGAAGGCATGTTAATCAAGTGCATGTACATGTATTTGATTCGCGTATCAAAAGAAATAATTTCTTCTTTTAAAATAACGGCTGCAAATAATGCGCTTATTCCGAGACCCCAGGTACACCTACCGGTTGTATAACAAATACCGACGAGTGTTTGGCCGGATCAGGATGCATGCCAGTGACGTTTTGTTGTAGTCCCAGATCGCCGTTCATGAAGTGCGGGAAGCTTAACGAGATTGGGAAGCCGTAGTAGCAATCAGTGACGTCAATTAGTCCAACCGGCTGACAATCGCCTGGAAAGGGTGAGAGTGAGAATCTTTTGTTAGACACGCGATAATATATTCACAAATTGTTAGTCAATTGTTAACGATGTTTTCTAACTCACTAGTAATAATTTAATTGGCCATTTAAAAGTTCGTTTAAATTTGAAAAAAAAAATCCCCTTTAAGACCTATTTCGACACACTAAATTGAACATCTTTCAATCGGAGTCATCTTTTCAAATGATAATGATATAATAATAACTGAAAGGGTGTAGGAAAATGTGTTTATAATAAATAAAGTCGTCGTAAAAAGAAATTTTAATTCCCAAAATTTAAGTTACTAAAACAATATAATAATTTACACCGATAAATTATTATTTTTTTATTTTTTTTATTAATATTTTTTTTTATTCATTTTGATAACAAAATCATTGAATTTCGATATATAAAAAAAAAATAATTATGACAACCAAATAAGACTTGCGGCTGCTTGCTTGATCGCTGCTTGCTCCATCCGCGATAATACAGTTTCTAGCAAAGTCTACGGTTCAATTTATTTTGCCCAAGAAGCCGGAGGAAATTAAGGATTAGCCATGGCTGGAGGTGCCTGGCGGCAGGCATAAAACGCACGTGGGTGGTTCCCCTGAATAAACACCATACTGGAGTCTTAATAGATGAAACCGGAGCTGGGATGTCAGCCCAAACGTCAGTGGAAGGCATGACTGCTACGACCTGCGGGCACGGGGGAGCAATCCTTTCTGCGTGTCGCCAACGGTACACCTCTGATGTGACGGGAGCAGGTCATGTCAATTGCAACGCTACTGCCACAAAAACGACGCAGGGGAAGCTAAGCCGCATAGATGCCATAGTCAATACAGACTCGGAATTTGAGAGCGTGCAGCTCTCCAAAGAGGATGAGGAAAGCCATCTCCACTCGCCGAAACCGTAGGGACGGGCCAAGACGCCTAAGCGAGGGGATGAGCAAGGCTGCCATCCGAATCCGGAGTCGGCTCCAGAAAAAACGGCCCTATCCCCAGAGGAGAAGGTAAAGCTTACCTGGGCCGAGGAGAGGATCGCTGAGGCAGGCTTCACTTCGCCAAACTCCCCCACATGAACTCGACGGGCGATTTCGCCAACAACGTGAAAGAGACGCTTGCAAACAAACAAGAAGGGAGGCCAAAGTGCAGTCCTCCAGATTAACAAGGAGGCGGAACACATCCTCTATCCCAGATACGGGAAAATGGCGTGGGGCATGGGTAGTGTATACCTGCGCCTTAAAAAGCGCCATCCCGGGGATAAGGATGCTCACAACCTGAAAGCAGGCGAGGTGGAGAAGGACCTAGGTCTGGAAACCATCTTGGATGCCGCCCAAGGAATGACGCTGGATGAGTCCGACGAAGGAGAGGACGGTGACCTGACCGTAGTCAACCCGTCGTATGGAGGTGCCCCAGTACCCATGCCATTTAGAGTGCTGCAGCTCAACCTTCATAAGAGTAAGGTCGCGTCGGAGGAACTCCTCATAGGTATGAAGCAAGGATTCGCCGACATAACGTTGTTTCAGGAGTCATGTATCCCTCAGGCAATGCCATCGCCGGACTAAAGTCCGCAAATTACAATTTGCTCTATCCAACATCGGTCTACACGCTAACCTTATGTCGCATTACAGCTCTTATGACCTAACTATGGTGAAGCTAGAGAGCACAAATAAGCGCCTTTTGCTGCATGGCACACGACAGGATGGCCCCACCAGAAGAACTCATGAGCCTGGTAGAAGCCAGCCCTAGATCTTACTGTTTTTATGGGACCGGGTACTTTGGTATCAGAACGGAGAGCTCTTGAGAGACCATCCTGCTTAGATCATAAGTACATGCGGTTCCAATACGTATTCGAACACTCTGGAAAACAATCAGTCTTCCGGAACCCCCCCAAAATACTAAGGCCACGCGGATACTGACGTCGGAAAGCGGAGCTTAGAACGGAACTTATAAGCGAGCAGATAATTTCAATGCAAATTTCTAAGCTTAGCTCCGCTTTCAGTGTCCGCGCTCTCATACAAGTAGTGGGTTTTTTTCTGTAAAAATTATCAGCTAGCTTATCAGCTCCGCTCAAAGCTCCGCTTTCCGCCGACAATGCACATTGGGATGAAATGCCTTTATTTTGGCCAAAACCTAAAAAATTCGTGTTAATATATCAATATTGTTACAATTATTTTAAGCTAAGAAATGTCCCTAGACATCAAAAATGTTTAATTGGTATTTTATTGTCCAGCCGTTGTCTTCCACCAGCCCTTGAAAGTGAACTGTTCTTGCCACGTAGTGCGTGCCAGTTTGCTGATTAGACAAGTTTCTTAACTTTGACGTTCTCGTATTCTTAAACAGTTTGACCAATTAAAATACCTTAAAATGGAAAATGTTTCACATGGTATGTAGAAAATATCTGTAACAGTGATTAATTATATGTGCTTTTGTTTTGTCATGCTTTTAATGAAATACGTAACCACTAGTTTTGTTGATTCTAACCTTAAAATATTTTTGTTTCGTGGAGCATATCTAGCAAGATACAACAGGATTCAAATAACAGCTTATGTGGTAGTATGTGTTATTATGTGTATATTCAGATAGCATTTAAATAATTTGCGGGAACTTGCGGGGGGTTTGATATTTCAACAGATGCGAGCAAGGTTGGAATTCGTCGAGGTGACTTACAGGAAGTTTGGCTGGATAATAATCGCAATGTCATCGCTACTTTTTGATTTGCATGCGAGGAAAAATAGCCGAGTGAACAATTTAACTGACGTATTTCATCGAGCTTTGGATTCTTCTGATCCTTACTTATCAAGCATCGCTCAAAAAAAGAGTTCAAAATCACACTCATTGCCAAGTGAAGTTATTGCACTTTTAGCTTCTCCAAATCCAGAAGATGCAGCCCAAGTATATAATATTAAAGACGACCTTATACCATATTTAGATTTTGATTTAGAAGAAGAACGTTTATATTAATACAAGTTTATGTACTTATTTTTAAGTTTTCGTTTATCAAATTATGTTATAATATGCAAAAATATTAAAATAAAAAAATGGTCTAACAATTATGGATAAAAAAATAAAAAAATATATATATAACAACATTAATATGAATTTTATATGAATATACTGCAGTTCTATTATGTGGGCGGCAGGGAAGGAAAGGTGGCAGTGTAAAAAAAAAAAACCGAAATTCACAAATAATATAAGCAGCAAATTCTCCAAGTTTCAACTTTCTAGCTTTAAAATTACGGTTGTGGCCAAAATAAAGGCATTTCATCCCAATGTGCAATGTGCGCACGGCCTAACTGGGGAAAGTTTAAGAAGATTATCACGACAAGGGTAGCGACCTCTCCGGGCATACTAAAATCCGCGGAAGACATAGAAAAGTCCCTAGAGACTCTCTCCAAAGAACTGCTAAATGCGTACCACGCATCATGCCCAATATCGGAAATGAGGAAGAGGACCAGGCCACACTGGTGGAATAAGGACCTTTTAGTCTGACGAAACAAATTCAAAGAACTCTTTTTCTTTTTTACATTTTAGTTTATGGTCAATTAATTCTTAAGGCTAACATTATACCTTCATCTACAAAGTTATGACTTATACTAGGGTGACAAGTTCTGTATAGTTTAATTTGTGTGTTTTTGTATATTGCCTTGCTCTTTTTCAGCTTCTCCAGGCTTTCAAAGAATTCTTCAAAATCGCCAAAAAGGCAAATAAAGATATCAAAGATAGCATGAGGAACACAAAGTCCTACTAGGTGACTGCAAGAAGGAAATCCGCAAGGCGCAGGGGAATTCGTGGAGAAATTTCTGCTCCAATAAAGAGAATGCCCCTAGACTCCAGACTCTGCTATCGAAGCAGTCAACCATTTCAAGTCAGCTCAACCGCGACGACGGACAGTGGGCAGCAAAGATGCCCTAACGCCACTAATGCTCATTTCCCAGAATGCACTGAGGTAACCGATGCCAATAAGAACCGAAAGATATAATATCCTCTCGTAGAATCCATTGGGTTATAGATTCCCTTGCTGGGATAAAAACACCGGGAATATTTCTAGCAATGTTACAGGTGACCAAAGAAGTGATCACCCCATGGCTCTACGCAATATACACAGCTTGCCTAAGCAAGGTTATATCCCTTCCAATAGAGGACCTCTAGGATTGTCTTCCTGCCCGAAGCAGGAAATAAGCAGGCATGTAAGCCCCAAGGATTACATATTTAATTTAATTTTAGATTTCGTTTATTACGCACACAATGCATAAGTGTAAGTGTCACGCACACTTACACACAAAACCCGTGTGTAAGTGTGCGTGACGAAATTTCATATTTGGCTTTGCTCGAGCGATAGTATTTTGACTATTCCAAATCATATTGGTTTTTGTGCATTAATATTTCAGTCGGCGCTATGGTCGTGCTGGTTTAAGCGTTGATCGGCGATAACAATGAGTGGATCGATCCCAGACAATAGCAATGTTTTTATTATCGTGTTTTTTTTTTTCTTTTATAATAATTCAAATTTTTGTTATATTATAATAAAAAAAACTAATAAAAATCCGGATTGGAACGCATACACTTTTTTTTGTCAGTCCGATTCCTTACCCACTAGACCAACCGGCAAGCAGGCCACGGGGTGTCCGCATTCTAACTAGAATCGAGCATTGCGGTTTCCACGATGAAAATGTCGGTTCTATCGCTGGAACCCGCCATACGACACATTTATTTCTATGACACGTCCCCTCTTTATAGTTTTATACTCCTTGATAATACCCAGAACGTGCCCAGATGGAAAGACAACAGCATTCATATGACCTAATGACTGGAATTCAGGCCAGGACCGTGAACAACACCTCAACATATGCTACGACGCACAGTAGCGCCTTTTCTCATTTTACGTTGTAAAAATCATAACTTTTGAACAAAACAAGATAACTAAATAATTTAAAAGCCATTTGACATGTAATTGTTGTGAAATTTACATATGTTTTGGAAAATGTGCCACGCCCACTCAATCGCCTTTCTAAAGGGTATCAACGTGAAAAAATTTGTTTTTCAATGAAGACAATTTTTAAAAAAATATTTTGTTTAATTTTGTATCTTTATTTTAATGTATTTGCTTAAATAAAAGTAATTTGAAAACTGAAAAAAAAAATTAAACTTTTTTTTTTAATTCTAAGTGTAAGCGCCACAAAACCGTGAGCGCTACAGTTAGTATTTATTCTTTTGTTTGTACAAGTATGAAACTGTGCCGGTACTTTGGTATATTTTACCCTGAGTTGTTTCGGTTTTTTGCTTCGCAATGCGAGAGTCGCAGCTGGACGCAGCCGATCTAAACGGATTCTGATTCAAGAAAGATACACGCAGTCCGTAGTCACAGTGTAGTTGCCGGCTCTAGGCATCTTCAAAAGTTATAGACTACTTTAGCCAGAAAATGGTGAAAATAATGGACACCTGGCAGAAAGCGATTTTCCTGTACAAGCCCACACAAAACTATAATTTTTTTTAATTTGGATAAGAGTTAATAAATGTACCTGTCATTAAAAAAGAAAAATCATGACCATTGGTTATGTAGTTTTTGTGTAATAATACCTGAAAGTCGACTAATTTATTTATTTTTTGTTATATGACGCATACACGGAAAACAATTTCGACTTTGAATGCTCAATTTTTTTTTTTTGTAACAGATTCAGAATCCTTTAGAAATTCTCTGTCGAATTTGTACGGTTTAAAACGATTTGCGATTATGAACTTTCCTATTTTTGCAACGGCTTTTGTTCGGGAGGCGCTACTGTGCAACGGCTTCAAGATGGATGGAGGAGTAGGAGCGGGCATATACTGTGCAAGCCATGAAATGAGGCTGTCGTATAAGCTACCAAACCACTGCAGTATATTCCAGCCAAAAGTATTCGCCATCAGTAAAGCGGCAGAGCTTACGCAGAACATAAACAGTCCAGATGAGGCAGTCAAGCGGGGATAAGATCCATGTAATCATCAGCGGTCAGTTCCAAAAATGTACTGGCAAGCAGAGAGTCATTCCCAGACACCGGGGCATAGATGGTAAGGAGACCGCACACGAAAGTGCAAAGAAATAAGTCGGACTTTCGAGTGAAAGAGCAGAAAACGTTCCTGTCTTCCTAAGAACGCCCCAAAGCGAGCTAGAGAAACGGGCTGACACAAGCGCAAAAAGCAGGAGAAGAAGTAATTCCACAAAAATCATGTGCAAATAGCGCAACGAGAAAATCATTCACAGCGTGCTGCATCTTCCACGGAAGGACTTCAAAATGGTAGTGGGAATTCTAACAGGTCACTTCCTGTCTGCTGAACATGCAGTCAAGCTGGGTATTACCGACAACGCCAAATGACGGAAATGTGATGAATTCGAGGCAACCGAAACCTTGAAGCATCTCATTTGAAAAGGATGAGATACCTAGGCTTGTCGGTTCTGGCATCGCTAGAAGAAAGCTTTTGAACCTGCTACGACAACAGCGCTTGGAGAAGGAGCTGGAGGAGGCGACTCCTGACAGGGATACGGATTTTGCGCTCTGGAAACTTGCTGGTCAGAACAAGAGGCAGGCCACCCCTAAGTTTCCAGTCAAGAAAGCGGATGGGACTTGGGCCAAGTCTCCGCTGGACAGAGCTGAAGCCTTCGCAGAAAGCCTAAAAGAACGCTTCACTCCCGTTGCTACTTCCTCTAAGGCTAGGGTAGAGAAAGTCAGTGTCTCCGTGGATGTTCCACACGAAATGGCGCCTCCTATCGCCCCAATCCTGCTTCCAGAAGTGCAGGATCAAGAAGCTGAAGAACCGGAAGTTGCCAGGAGCGGATGGCATCCTTGAAGCGATCCCCAAGCACCAATTTGGGTTCCTGAAAGGTAATGGCACCCCCGAAAAACTCCACAGAGTTGTAGACTTTATAGTCGAGGGGTACGAGAAGAAGCAGTACACGGTGGCTGCTTTTCTGGACATTCAGCAGGCCTTTGACAGGGCCTGACACCATGGGCTCCTATCCAAGATCAAAGAGCTTCTGCCAGCTACCTCAAGGATAGGAGCTTTCAAGTGGTCCAGGATGGAGTCGCTTCTACCACCAGGGGGATACTAGCCGGTGTCGCACAAGGAAGCGTACCGAAGAGGATTCAGGCGTTCCAGGCCAAGTTCCTGAGGCGTATCACCAACGCCGAGTGGTACATCAGGAACAAGGATATTCGGAGAGAGCTGCAAGTCCCCGCAATTGGAGATGCTGTCAACTCCCTTGCTGCCAGACACTGATCCAGACTGCTGAGCCATCCCAACCCCTTGGGCAGAAGACTGACCAGACCAGGAATGAGACGATGCCTTCAGGGGGTCACCATCCGGGAGCTGCCCATCCGGCGTATAACATAAATTTATATTGCAACTAGCCGTAAACCTCTACTAAAAAATTGTTAGCAAATAATGGAAAAGTAGATTTAAAGTTTATAGCAGCTAAACTTCCTACAAATAAAAACTATCGCTAGAAGATGCCTCCAGGAGGAACTACTTGCCTTTTCGAAAATCACCTTGATCTTTAAGGAAATCCGCATAAATAGTCTCTGGGCCAATCCAGGAATTTCCCCGGATAACTAAAGGCCATATTGGCCATAACCTAAATAAGACTTACCTTTTCGACAGAAGCATTTGTTTGCCTCATTGTTTACACCATTATCAAAAGCGTTATCCTCGAATACGTAGTTGTAACCCTTCAGTCTGCCATACGTTTTTTCATCGCCAACCCGGTACTGTAAAAACAAAATAGTGCTTGAAATACAATTATTTGTGCGGATCCTTTAATACTTACCAAGTTGATTGGTCTACACATGCTCTTTCTGAAGAACTTCACCGTCTCGTTGGGTTGAATGAAGCTTTTAAACTTTGTGCCATCCGACGCGTACTCAATGTTACTGCAGTGCTGGCCCTCCCATTGGGGAAGGGTTTTTTCTCCCCGATAGGTTGCGTAAAGCCCCGACAACGCTGGATCTGGCACTCCCGTATAGAACGTCTCGTAGTCCGTAGTGAAATCGTACATACGATCGATAAGACCCACTTTTTCGAAAGATATCCAGTTGGGAAGGAAGGTATTGCCTAGTGTGGCAAGGGCCGAAGGGTAACCGAACATGAACTCCTTGACAGTGGTCCGAACTATCGGCTCTGATTTCGTACTTGCTAGCAACGTCTTAAGGGCCATTCTTACTAAGAAGGGATGGTTAGCAGTCAAATGCGATATGGCCTGCAAAGAGGTAAGTCACAATAACATTAACGAAACTATCTAAAGTCATTGTCGATACTTAATATTGAGTATGCAGCAATCTGTTGAGAACATTATTATGAATCACTAGAGAAATGTATCCTCGTAAACAAAATTAATTGATACGAATTAAAATTTAGTTGGGATAGTTATAGTTAAGAAGTTTCGTCACTATGACGACCGTACAATCATAGGACTAGATGATGCCTAAGAATTATTCTTAATTTTACATAACCTCATAACCTCCCTAGAAAAAGGGTTTTATGGTTTTAGTCTGAAGTTTGAAACGCAGTGAAGTCGACAAATGACATAATATTTTTGGTTACAGAAAGTAAGATATAAGGAAAATAGTTTGGTTTATTAAGGAAATATTTTGGTTTATTTGGAGTGATTTCTCTGTTTGCTTTTTGGGGAAAAATTATAATAAATTAAGTGTTTAGAGGGCATATTTGGCTAGGCAAAAAAAAGTATATTAAGCAAAACATTTACGTAAAGTTAAATGACATGATATTGTTATTACAGAAAGCAAATATTATGAAAAAATACCTAAATAAGACCTTAACACCGTTAGAATTCTAGTAATTGAGTCGTGGGCGTCCCTGCAGTGTGAGATGACTGAAAAATCACTTTCAGTTAATGAAAACTGTCTAATAAATTTGTAACAAATGCGTTTTACCTGAAAAACATTGGTAAAATAAATATAGATATAGAAAATATTGTTGATTCCTGGTACACATAAATAACTGGGAAACATGGACTCGGTACCCTAATTGTATGGGACTGCATTTCATAAGATGGTGTTAGCACCAATTGAATTACCGGCTCTCAATCCCATGAAAAAATTTCTGAAGTGAACTCAACACAGAACACAGTGGTTAAGCTTTTAGGGAGCCGCGGCCATAATTATTAACTTCTTGTCGTAGATTGCTACGAAATTTTCATCAAAATTCTATAAAAATATATTAAGAATATAATACAAATATTGGCCATATCCTACGTCATCATATGTATATGTACATAGCTGTCATACGAACGATCGGCATGACATAGGCATTTAGTATGCAATTTTTTTTTATTTTTCAAGATATCGACGCATTTTTGCGAAAGTATCGTATGTCACTATTTTTCGAAATTGAGATTTTAATTCAAAATTGTTAGCCACCTAATGTCTCACTACCGATAAAAATTAAGTATCAATTTTGTCTTTTCTATAGTGCTTCCTAAGAGATTAAATCACAAAAAAGCTTCTCCTGTAAAATTGGATTTTTCGACATAACATGTTACGATACATTCGCGGAAATGCGTCGATATGTTTATCAAACTTACAGATTCTATGTTAAATGAAGTTTTATATGTACATGTCTACTAAATCTAGTATATAATATGGCCGAGGTGCGTAAAAATATTATAATTTCATTGGATTGCAATTTGAACAATTGAACTTTTAATACGATTGAAATTGGTTCAATAAGCAATAATATTGTTGCAAATGAAACTTAATACAATTCTGAAGTTTATTCATCTCAACTGCGCAGCCTTTGTTTTTAATGCTTTTATGTACCAAACTAATCACACTACGAGTTCGTACCCTTTTCTGTACACCTGAGTTCAATGATGTATGTATGGTATGTACATTTGAATTACTTTTTAAATAAATGGAGGGTATTATAATTTCAGTCAGAAATTTGCAACGCAGTGAAGGAGACCTTTCCGACCCTATAAAGTATATATGTAAAAAGGGAAGTGATCGAAGCAGGCCGAGAGCTTCGAACTGACAGCAGCTAAGTAGGAACAGGGAGAGAAATATTCATTGTGTTTTGTGAAGTTCAGCTTGAAGGTTGAAAATTCAGTAGATACGACAGCAGAGAGAACCATAACGAAAGCTGAAAATTGAAAAAGCAGAAAAGACGCAAAACTTGCAATAATCAAAATAAATATAATTTAACAAAATAAATACTATAATAAAGAACCAGCTAAGCGGGGCTATCAACCCATCTTACATATATATTCTTGATCAGCATCAACAGCAGAGTCGATCTAGCCATGTCCGTCTGTCCGTCCGTCCGTCTGTCCGTTTCTACGCAAACTAGTCCCTCAGTTTAAGAGCTATCTGAATGAATTTTTATGTTTTTATTATGGACTTTGACTTTTAATTGTTATTATTGCTTGAAATAACTTTAACTTCGGCACGCCGAAGTTTGTATACCTTTGCAGATTGGTTTTGATATTTATATTAAAAATTAAAATGCTGAAAACACACACAAAACAGAGTTTCATAACATTTTACTTTTGACAGCTACAGTTTTATATATTAAGATGTACCTGCCTTACATTTTCTCTACACATCTACCGATCGTTTCTATGACAGCTATATGATATCGACGCATTTTCTCGAAAGTATCGTATGTCGCTTTTTTTCGAAATTGAGATTTTAATGCAAAATTGTTAGGCACCTAATGTCTCACTACCCTGTGAAATATTATAACTGAAAACCCTATAGTTCCGATAAAAACTAAGTTTCAATTTTATATTTTCTATAGTGCTTCCTAAGAGATTAAAGCACAAAAAAGCTTCTCCTGTAAAATTGGATTTTTCGACATACGATACTTTCGCGAAAATGCGTCGATATAGTTGTCCGATTTTCATAAAATTTTTACCAAAATTCTGAAATAATAACAAAAGCGCATATCTCAGAGTAGATGAAAATACGTTGAAAAACAACGAAGTTATAATTTTTTTCCTATTAATCCAGTAAGTTATAATTTTTTTTCTTAAAATTTATCGAACATTTGTATGACAGCTATATGATATAGTCGTCCGATCTGGCCCGTTCCGACATATATAGCAGTGAGGATATATAGAAGGCCATATGCAAAGTTTCATTCAGATAGCTTTAAAACTGAGGGACTAATTTGCGTAGAAACGGACAGACGGACGGACAGACGGACATGGCTAGATCGACTCGGCTGTTGATGCTGATCAAGAATATATATACTTTATAGGGTCGTAAAGGTCTCCACTTCTGACTGAAATTATAATACCCTGCAAGGGTATAAAAATACAAGAAAGAAAGCTAACTTACACAAGGCATGCTTTTCTGTTTTATGTTTTAACTCTATTTAATATGTCAATTTATTTTGTGCTGCTGTTTGTCCTGTTTTTGCATATTTTGCATTTTTGTTGTGCCTTTTCCGTTTGCCGTTGCTTGCGCCGCACAGTAGCGCCTTTTCTCATTTAGCGTTGCAAAAATCATATCTTTTGAACCAAATAAGGTAATCGAATAATTTAAACGTCATTGGACAGGTAATTGTTGTAAAATGTATATATCTACTGCATAATGTACTACGCCCACAAATTCGCCTCTATAAAGGGTATCAAAGTGAAAAAATATTTTTTTTGCAATGAAAAAAAGGTTTAAAAAATATTTTTTATTTAAGTTTTTATGTTTAGTTTGTTTTTATGTTTATTTTTATGTATTTCCTCAAATAAAAATAATTTGAAAACTGAAAAAAAAATTTTTAATTCAAAGTGTAACCGCCACGTGCTATATTTCTTGGAATGTATGAAATTGTGTCGGTATTTTGGTATATTTAACCCTGAGTAGATTTATGTCGTTGTATTTTCGCAGACGCGGCTCGACGCAGCCGATAAAAGTTAATTCTGGTTCAGGAAAGTCCACTTAGGTTATAGACATAGTGTAGTTAATATTACCTGCAAGTCGACAAATTTACCCATTCTTTTTGGTATGATGCAAAAACCAAAGAAAGTTCAACTTTAAATGCTCATATGTATCTTCTAAAAAAAAAAAAAAATTATATCAGATTCTGAATCCTTGGGAAATTTTTTGTCGAATAAGTATGGTTAAAATCGTTTTTGCGAACATGACGTTTTCGATTTTTGCAACGCTACTGTGCGTCGTTGTCAATAATTTTGCGAATGTTACTCATTTACTCACCAGCATAGCAATATTGAGCATTATAACTTCATCGTCCTCATGTCGACTGCCAGACATTTCCTCTTGCCAGACCAAGGGATGACTGGGTGTGCTGCTCATAGTGTTATTTTTATTGAATGTAACGTTTTTGTGGGTCATTATCTCCCTAAGTGACGTTAAAAAGGATTGGTCCTTAATTTTTATTTGAATTTATCATTTATATACTTACTTGTATACATAAGGTCCAACTTGTTCTACTTTGAGCCGCTCGCGACCAGCCAAAAAAGCCTCTGCGTTGGTTATATTAAAGAGGTATATCTTAATGTACAGATCAACTGGTGGCAGGGCCCAAAGATTAAAAATTTCACCTCCCTCAGACATGATTAACTTCTGCAAAAGGTCAACGTACAAATAAATCAATAAACGGTCAAATACATTGTCAATGAATTGATTCGCGGTCTCTCAAACGAGCTGCATTGCCCAAACTACGTGCCAATGTCGAGCTAAAGACCCTCAAGTAGCCAGTCCCACAATTGGCAAACACAAAGATTAGGGCTAAGAGCCTTAGTTTCTATTTATTGTTACTTACCCATTTAAATATTAAATCATATGGCTGAAACACTTTAACCAGCACTGCTGTTGTAATGGCCAAAAATCCGATGACAAGTAGGAGAAAAGCGCCTAAAAAATAATAATACCATATATAATTATCGTTGTACTAATTGGTCTATTATTATAATAACTATTATTAACTTATGGTAAAAAAAATAGTTTTGTTCAAAATATTTCCAAAATTATTGTACAAACTGTGCGTGATGTAAAGGGTTTCTTTTTTTCCTTGACCTCAGCCACTCTTTTAAGAGCTGCATTTTACAATACTACCTGTAAAGATTTCACAACACTATCTAAGAACAGCTGACTAGCACATGCAAATGTTTATTTAATTAACAATTTCTATAAGAAGGATGCATAAAAATCAAGTGCAGGATGAGAATGGATGAATTGGTACGGGCAAAACAGCTGACATCCGCATGAGTTTTCCAATACTTCTTATTGAACATTTTCAGTAATGCGCCGAAAACAGATGATTGAAAATTTAAATATTTCAAATTAACGGCCAAGAATGCTTGTAACTTTAATTTTATGTAATGAACTGGTAACCCATTAACGTACTTAGGTTGGACGTTAGAGCGGGACAAAATCTAATTAGACCCCTATTAACAAAACTCAGGCAAAACAAAAGCGGTTTGCCTATACCGGCCAGCTGATCTTCCTTGGGAACCAGTGTGACCAAAAAATTTAAGAAAAATCCATTAAAAGCGTTTATGGCGTTTAAGGCTTTTCTTTGGGCACTCTGAACAGCTGGACACAAATTTGTTAATAAATATGGCATTAAAATGTCCTTTGTTAGTTAAATCCCATATCATGGGCTTCCTTGACAGCACTTATCAATGCCACTTTTTTCCTTCAACTTTCCCTTCAGCAGGCCTGTAGAATAAATGAAATGAATTAATGTTATACCACGATATCAGCTGTTTACTCTCTTGATCTGGTAACGCCATTAAATTTTCGCAGGTATAATTTTGGTCGTCACGACGCACAGTAGTGCCTTTTCCCATTTTACGTTGCAAAAATCATAACTGTGCAAGTCCAAACCCAATTCCCTTTTTCGGATTATGAATGTGTCTATTATTTAAAGCAAAAATCATGGCGATAGGTAATATATATATTTTTTTTATAATATTACCTGAAAGTCAACCAATTTTCCCTTTTTTTTCATATGATGCAAAAATGGAAACTAAGTTCAACTTTGAATGCTCATATCTTCTACAAAAAAGAATTGATTTTACTGCAGATTCTGAATCCATGGGAAATTTGCTGTCGAATTTGCGGTTAAAATCATTTTTGCGACAACGACTTTTTTGATTTTTGCAACGGCTTTTGTTCAACAGGCGCTACTGTGCGACGAGGTAAATTCTTCTTCTTCTTCATATTTTCACACCGTTTTTATACCCTATTATTATTTCAGTCAGAAGTTTGCAACGCAGTGAAGGAGACCTTTCCGACCCTATAAAGTATATATATTCTTGATCAGCATCAACAGCCGAGTCGATCTAGCCATGTCCGTCTGTCCGTTTCTACGCAAACTAGTCCCTCAGTTTTAAAGCTATCTGAATGAAACTTTGCATATAGTCTTCTATATACTCTCACTGCTATATATGTCGGAACGGGCCGGATCGGACGACTATATCATATAGCTCCCAAACAAATGATCGATCGATTTTTAGAAAAGAAAACTATAACTTGGCTGTTTTTCAACTTTTTTACACTATTTTTTAAATATGGCCATTTTATATTATTTCAGATTTTCGGTAAAAATTTAATAAAAATCGGACGACTATATCTTATAGCTGCCTTGGAACGATCGGGAAATTAATAGGGAAAAAAATATAACTTCGTTGTTTTTCAACTTTTTTTCATCTACTCCGGGATATACGCTTATTTTATTATTCTAGAAATTTGGTATAAATTTCATAAAAATCTGACAACTATGTATATCATATAGCTGCCATATAAACGATCGGTAGATGTAGAGAAGATATAAAACTGGGAATGCAAAACTGTAACTGTCAAACTGTAAACATAATAAGTATAGGTAAAATGTAATGAAATATTATCTGCAAGGGTATACAAACTTCGGCGTGCCGAAGTTAGCTTCCTTTCTTGTTTTATATGGAGTTTGGCCTCTAAAACACATGTTACATCCGATTTTCGTAGTCAGTTTACTAGGCTTTAAAGCAGGTTGATATGCACATTAACGCCGGCTTTCCTCCTTCTTTTTATTTGGTTAGAGTTCATTGATTGTGAATTTATGTAACTATTTCACATTTATCGCCTTTTCTACTAGCCTTAATTAATCACTTTGTATGCAATGCAAATCAATTAAAATTTTTTGTCGTTAGTGGCAAATGAATAAACAAAGAACTTGGGTTATTTTTAAAAGCACTCTTGTATGCACGAGGTATAAAAATATAAATTGATGTATAAATGGGAGTCGCTGAAGATAATACAAATGCTTTATAGCTTTATTTGTTTTACTTTGCCAAAATTTTGATTTCGGAAAGTTCTAATTGATCTTGCCGAGCACGTATCCTCAGATATTTACATACATACTATGTATGTATGTACTTATATAGATACATATGCATATGTATGTACATTGATATAAACATACATACATATGCATTCGGATTTGCCACCCAAAACGCACAGTGACTGCGCCCATAGGCCAAAATAAAAATATCATTATAACAAACATGTACGAAAAGTAAACATATCGTCTCTAAAACGTACAAGCTTCTTCGTGGCTTACCAGATTTTTTTGGAAATCTAACGGCACTTTCTAAAAATAGAATTGAAGATGTAAACACTTGTTCATTTGCAGAGCGCACCTGCGCGCATCGCGAAATTTTCAAAACCAAACCAAACTTTTTTTAATGGATTTTGAAGTTTAAGGTATTTTCTATATAATGAGATATAATTTTATATATTAATAATAATTATTGTTTTCATTATATCAATGTGAAATAATCATGTTTTTTGTCTATATTTATACCCTTGCAGGGTATTATAATTTCAGTCAGAAGTTTGCAACGCAGTGAAGGAGACCTTTCCGACCCTATAAAGTATATATATTCTTGATCAGCATCAACAGCCGAGCTGATGTCCGTCCGTCTTGTCCGTCTGTCCGTTTCTCCGCAAACTATATGCCTATACGACTATATCATATACATAGCTGCCATACAAATGATCGACAAATTTTAAGAAAAAAAAATTTTTTTAAATATAATATTTTTTATTATTATTATTTCAGAATTTCTCTTTACATTTTATGAATATCGTACGACTATATATTATAGCTGCCATAGGAACTTCGTTGTTTTTTAACGCATTTTAATCAACTCTGAGATATAAGACTTTTTTATTATTTCAAAATTTTGTTATAAATTTGATGAAAATCGGCCAACTATATCTTATAGCTGCCATAGAAACGATCGGTAGATTCAGAGAAAATGTAAAGCTGGGAATGTAAAACTGTAACTGTCAAACTGTAAACTTAATAAGTATAGGTATAATGTAATGAAACTCTGTTTTGTGTGTGGGGGGTAAGGTTAATTCGGGGCAAAACGGGCCACTTTTCAAATGTACTGTGGCGAAACGGCTTAAGTTTGCTTAATGAATTAAAAACCATATAATAACATAACATTTGAACAGTTTTTGATAAATTTTGTATCAAAAAATATTTAGAGGTAGAGGAGTTATGGGAAATCTCCCGAATCGCCTCCAAAAAAGTTGGTTTGCGGTGTACATCCTAACTGTCCACAGAATCATCCGATCTAAAAAAATTATACCTCATTCGTTTAAGGATAAGTGTCCCGAGGTACTCACGAAGCGTTTTAATTTTTAATATTTTTTCCCGCTTTTTTATCAAAATTTGAAGTCAAAACCCCGATTTTTGACTCAAAAAATTAGTTAATTTGTTATATAAAAAATATAATAAAATAATAAATTAAAAAAAGCTCGACGTGAGTTCCTGTACAATTACCTATAGAAACCGATTGGTCCAGTAGATTTTGAGTTATCGTGTACACCGATTTTCAAAATGGCATTTTTCACGAGAGCGCTTTAAACTTTGTGATGCTCATGCATTGATCACCAACCGACCTTTGTTCAACTCTGCATAACTTCGTCAATTTTCCTATGATCGATGTAAAACTTGAACACAATATTCCTAAGATATTGAGCCTTTAAAATAAAAAATACAAAAAAATTTAAGAAAAAAAAAAATTAAATACCTATTCGATATTTTCAGTAATTCAGTCGTGTATGAAAAAGCCTGGCTATCAATTAGCTCTATGAATTACGTACATATCTCTGGAAAACATTCTCTTGATATATGTACATATGTAAATGTAAGGCCCTATACGTAAATCATTTGTTCACTTGCCGTCAAATATTATCATAAAAAACATACATATGTACATATGTATATACGAAATTTCGGCTTAACGATGATTTGACAATAAATACATACATATATACATATAAGAGAGAGGGAAAATACCGAAATGGAAAAAGCGTCGATAACCAAAGAGCAGTGCCTAGCCAACGCGGAACCGAAAGCTTCTACATTAAATGCTAAGTACTGCTGATGAGTAACAAAGTTGATTAAATTGATTACTTTGCTTGCAGGCATCGGTTGCAGAAAGTTGCGTCTGTTAAATGCAGACAACATACTGCTAGCTTGGAGCTGTGCTCATCACAAGCACACGTACATACATACATATGTACATGTATTGTATGTATGTACATAATGAGACTTCTTTGTGTTTTTTCTTCTGCCTTGCATGCTGTCAGAGCATAAGCCAAATTTCACTTGAGACGGCTATACATACCTGTGGTGGAATATTTTTAGATTTTAAAGTTTTTGAAATTAATGGAAAACTTGATTTCCGACTTATCATTAAATACGGCTTAAAGTAGTTTTCGGCATTAAACTTGGCCTCTTCCCGGTGCTCCCTTCACAGTCATTATCATCGATCGGCCGTGTCGGTTCTTGACGCTCATAATGTGATGCTACGTCTCAATCAATATATGGAATGCCTTCTATTTTATTTATTGTATTTAGAGATGGCATGTGTTCATTTTTTTGGCTTTTGGCAATATCTATGTGTCCGCTTTTTTGAATAAATAATTTTTAGCAGCTAAACGAACAAAAACAAAATATATGAACATATACATAAATAAAACTCATTTGACAATCCTGTTTGACCGTGAACAGTCACTTTTATCGTAATTTTGAATTTCGAATCAAAAGTTTTTGATAACCGCGGGCCGATTTTGTTCGTCGAGCAATTTATGCAACCAAAACTTGTTTCACTCGGTTCTTGTCTCTCAGACTATCCAATTGATTTCACTTTAACATTTAATATTTAAGAAAATTGGTTGGCTGTTACCGTTTCGTAATACAACGTTAATGCTTTTTAAACCCTTGCAGGGTATTATATGTAGTTTAAGTCAGAAGTTTAAAACGCAGTATAGGAGACATTTTCGACCCTATACAGTATATATATTCTTGATTTGCATCAACAGCCGAGTTGATCTAGCCATGTCCGTCCGTCTGTACGTTCCTACGCAAGCTACTCGCTCAGTTTTAAAGCTATCTTAATGAAACTTTGTATATAGTGTTCTGAATACCCTCACTGCTATATATATCGGAACGGGCTGGATTGGACGACTATATCATATAGCTGCTAAATTATATCTTCGCTGTTTTTCAACATATTTTCATCTACTCTGAGATATGGTCATTTTATTATAATTTTTTTTTTCATTTTCAGATTAATTTTTTTGAAAATCGGACGACTATAGCATATAGCAATAGAAATGATAGACAAATTTTTAGAAAAAAAAATTTAACTTGGCTGTTTTTTAACATATTTTCATTATTTTTGAGATATGTCAATTTTTTATTATTTTAGAAATTCGGTTTTAATTTTATTAAAATCGGACTACTATATCTTAATTCTGACATTGAAACGATCGGGTAATTAATGGAAGAAAATTATAACTTCGTTGTTTTTCAACGTGTATTCATATACTTTGAGATATGAGGTTTTTTATTTTTAATCTTATGAAAATCGTACGACTATTTCATATTGCTACCATAGAAATTATCAGTGGATATACAGAGAAATGTAAAGCTGTGAGTATAAAACTGTAACTGTCAAACTGTATATATGTATAATAAGTATAGGTAAAATGTAATAAAACTTTGTTTTGTTGGTTTTTCAGCATTTAATTTTTTAATGTTTATTGTATAGTAGATATTTTAAAATCTAAAATATAGTTTTTTTAAACAATTAAATTTCCTTTTTTTTTGAATTTTATTAAAACCAAATTATTATATGCTATGTATAAATATGCAACTTTTAAATAAGTAAATGTAAGGGTATATAAACTTCGGCGTGCCTTTCTTGTTAAATTTTAAACTTACGCATAGAAAAATTAGGTTTAATTAGAAAAATAAGGAATAAGGAAAGGAGTAAAATTCATTTCATTTTTTTATTCCTTTTTTTTTTTCTAAATAAACCTAATTCCCTATTTTCCTAAATTTCCGACATATGTATGTACATACATATATGGTAGTGACAATAGTCAGAAAACTATCTGCAAAGTTTTACTCAGATAGCTTCTGATCTGGGGGACTAGTTAGACGGACTAGGCTAGATCAACTCGGCTGTTGATGCTGATCAAGAATATACATACTTTATAGGGTCGGAACCGTCTCATTCTCTGCGTTGCAAACTTTCAACTATAGTTAAAATATCTTGCAAAAGTATAACAATTTGGTATGTATGTATGTACGACTTTAACATCCTGATTGGAGCGTTACTTTTTTTTGTATGTATATGGTCACATAACCTACACATAACGTAGTCAGTAACGAAATTTAAGGTCAATAGTATGATCATTGCCGCCTCTCCATGCATTAAATACTATAGTATGTCGAGTGAAGTGATTGCGTGTAATTTAAAACTCGAACTTGTCTTACAGCTTATATGCACATACATACAATTACGGTATATGGTTTAACTTTGATTTGATATTCAAGTTCAGGGTCCAACTAAATACACAAAAATTGATTTGTAGTGTTTTTGGGCGGAGCCGTTTTCATAGTTTGGCAAGATATGTACATACTTAGTTCGAGAAGACTCTATGACGAACTGTGTCATTGTCGATTGGGGTATTTTGATTTTTTTACGTTGTCGATTTGTTTCTATTCAAAATAACAAAAAAAAAAATAAAAGAAATAAAAAAAAACTGAAGTGCTATGCTAAATAGCTTTGATGGTTTTTTGGTGAGCGTTTCTTTTATGTTTCTTCCGCATGTGGCAAAAGCAAGCGACTTAACACGCATTTATCGAAAAATGTTGATAAGCAATACAAAAGCAAGGGAATAATTGTGCAAATGTTTGTATGTACATATGTATATACATATAAATCATATTAAGAGTTTACATTTAAATCTATTAATGTCTTTACTTCATCGACAGACTCATATTTCCGGACTTAACTTACGTTTAGGAACTCTATTATGTTTGCCTTGGTTCGGTTCATTAAAAAAGCTACCCAATATATCAATCGGTTTCATTGATCGATTCGCTTTGAGGCTCTTACGACGCTGGGCACGTTGCAAAGCGGACATAGCGGCCGAAGAAGCTGCAGGATCTCTATTAGTCGGTGAACCTGGCCCGAATCCGGCTTTATCTAGCGATTTCCGTTGATAATTATTTGCATCCTCGTCACTTACACAAACTGCACTATAACGTCGAGCAAACATATTGCCAAAGTCCTTCATAGTAATAGTTTGTTGCTTATTTATTTATTTATAAAAACTTATTTACGTGTTCAATATTATACTTTCGTTTTTAAGCACTTCACAATTAAATCTAAATTGATATTAATTTCTGTACCCGCGGCACTAAAAAACTTAGATTGGCTTTTGCTGCTGCAGCTCCTTAAGCATGGAAGCACATTTTCTTATACCGAGCTATATTATATTTTAAATCGCATTGGCGTCCGTTCGCCAGCATTGTCCTCATATAAATGAAATCGTGGATGCGGATTCATCGAGCAGGTAACCTACGGCTTCAGTCTAGTACAATTATAGCTTATAGAAAAGAGCAGTCTCGGAAAGAAAGAGAGATAGAGAAAGAGCATGATAGAGATTGAGAGAAAGAGAGACCAACACAAAGAGATCGTGCGAGCGTGCTGGACGCCATTCATACTTACATACATACATACATATGTACATATGTACATAGTCTTTAGGGCTTAGCTTAGGTCTGAGCTGGAGTCTTACGTTACCTTACGTACACGCTTACGAAGCTACAACTATTCGCTCAGCTGTTGCTTTGTTTTGAGCCGGTCTTCTGATCTAAACGCTTAACCGAAAAACCAGAAGTAGCTCAGCTCAAGCCTAAACCAGTTTCGAGTCATTGTCAAGATGCTGCCGTTGCTTTGATTGGCTTTGGGGAAATACCATATCATATCATATTACTCATACGTAATATAATCAGCGTGATATGGACAACTTTTTTTGTATTAACATTTATCGAGTTTTAATGGATTTAGACCCACTGAACGAACACACAGCTAAAATTTTTCCGTCAGTAAAACACTTAAAATTAATAAGTACGTACATACATACATATGTGCATGCATGGAAGTTTTATTTTTCGTCTTTAGAATCTTACCTATTTTTAGTGATCTTGAGAATCGTGTTTTACTTAAAAGCCACCCACATATTTATTACTCAGTTCTCACATATTAAAGTTAACACTTTCATTTAGCAATACAATTTTCTTGTTTTTTAGGTATCAACAGACTTAGAATCAAAATATGTAAATGTTATTAATAATAGAAAGCATATTTTTTGGTAACTGGTCAAGCGACAGCTAAGTACTCTAGCAGTTAGCCATTAAATCGTTAAGAATTGTTAAGCATTCAGTCAAATGAAAAAAATTATTTAAGTCATACATACAGTGCCGCTCAAATGAATAGGTTTAAAAAATCGTTCTCACATTTTTTACTCTGTCTTTGTTCCAATTGAATGGTTTGCTATTATTTCTTTTTATTTTGAACCTTTATTTGTTTACGCACTGTATGTAAGAAAAAATTAACGGGACAAATGCAATGGTTATTCAGGATTTTACTGTTATCATAAAATTCGCAAAATGCGTGTTTATTCTTGGCTCATCTGAATAGGTTTAACTCTTTAGACTTTACTTTGCGTTTGACTGAGTGACAGAAAAGAAGTCAATTCTTTTGTTTTTCAAAATTTAAAGTATTTTTGACAGTTTTTTGTAAAATGGTCCACGGAAAACCTTTAACCGATTTTGAAAAGGGTCGCATAAAAGGTTATATTGAATCCGGAAAAAAAATGAAAGGAGGACAAAACAAGAAGGGAAGCTAACTTCGGCTTGCCGATGTTTGTATACCCTTGCAGATTGGTTTTGATATTTATATTATAAATTTAAATGCTTAAAACACACACAGAACAGAGTTTCAATACATTTTACCTATACTTACAGTTTGACAGTTACAGTTTTACATTCACCATTTTCTCTACATCTACCGATCGCTCCTATGGCAGCTATATGATATAGTTGTCCGATTTTTATGAAATATTATACCAAAATTCTAAAATAATAAAAAAAGCTTATATCTCAGAGTAGATAAAATACGTTGAAAAGTACCGAAGTTAAAATTTTTTTCCTATTAATTTCCTGATCGTTCATATGGCAGCTATAAGATATAGTCGTCCGATTTCCATAAAATTTTTACCAAAATTCTGGAATAATATAAAATGGCCATATCCCAAAAATGATGCAAAAATTTTGAAAAACAGTCAAGTTATATTTTTTTTCTAAAAATTTATCGAACATTTGTATGGCAGCTTCATGATATAGTCGTCCGATCCGGCCCGTTCCGACATATATAGCAGTGAGAGTATATAGAAGACTATATGCAAAGTTTCATTCAGATAGCTTTAAAACTGAGGGACTAGTTTGCGTAGAAACAGACAGACGGACAGACGGACAGACAGACAGACGGACGGACATGGCTAGATCGATGATGATCTTAAGGAAGCACGACTTCGATTTGCCCGAGAACACATAACGTGGAAGAAGAAGTGGAAGACTGTGGTCTTCTCCGACGAAAAGAAGTTCAACCTCGATGGATCAGACGGCTACAACTACTAGAATGAGCCATATCTTTTTATAGAACATGCAATCTCCAGTTTATCACCTCGAAGATCAACGAAAATGGTTACAAAACTGTGCTCCAAAAGGCTTTTCCCCAGTTTTCTGACACGTATGGTCATATTACATGGACGCTTCCATCCATACCGCTCGGGTTGTAAAGCAGTGGTTTAGGGACCAAAATTTCAAAATTCTCGAGTGGTCGCCTTACTCTCCTGACATTAACATCATGTAGAACATTTGGGACTTTTGTCAAGGAGAGTATACGAAGGTAGTTGAAGCAATTAAAAAAGCCTGCTCAACAATTTCACTAAATAAAATCGAAAAATGCTATGAATGCTTACCAAACCGTATGTTTGAAATAATTAAGAACAAGGGTGTACATGTAAATTTAATAAATTAAGTAGTTAAACCTATTCAGTTGAGCCAAAAAAATTAATCATTTTGTTATGTTTTTGAAAAAATAATAAAAGTAATAGGAAACTACAATTCTCGTGTGAGTGTTCGCTTTTTAGCAATACATGCTACTGAAAAACATTGGACTTATGTATATTAAAAACAGTGAAATTTTATATAAAACATTGAAATTATATTGAAAAAAGTGGAAATATAGTTAAACATTGAAATAATTGTTTTAGGTGAGTAAAAACTAAAAGTTAAATCTAAATTATTAAGTTATATTATTATGAAACTACCGCATTAATTAGAGATTTTATTAAAGATTTCACAGCTCCATATGGTTTACACAAGTGCTACAAGACTACTAGATGGCACTCTTAATGGAATTTATAATGCATTGGCAATGCATTAGCCGCTAAAATCGATAGATATACAATATACTAGATACTAACTTTGGACCGGAATTAAATTGTACTTGATAAGTGAATTAACTTGTACAACATTTACATTTGTATTGACAGGACCAGTGAATGTTTCTCAACTCTCATCTGCCTTCAGCGCTAATAAGACAAAGTAAAATATAAATGAATCCTTGGTTTTGGGTATCTCACAGACATAAATGACGGTAGTTTTTCTAGTTGTATGAGACATGGACTCAAGTCAAATAGATTTTTTGCTGGCTAATACATATATGAACTTTGTATTTGTTTATTTATCAATTTAGGTTATAATAAAATAAAATAACAAAAATAAGAAATAACAAGAAAGGAAGCTAACTTCGGCAAACCGAAGTTTTTATACCCTTGCAGATTGGTTTTTATATTTATACCCTTGCAGGGTATTATAATTTCAGTCAGAAGTTTGCAACGCAGTGAAGGAGACGTTTCCGACCCTATAAAGTATATATATTCTTGATCAGCATCAACAGCCGAGTCGATCTAGCCATGTCCGTCTGTCCGTCTGTCTGTCTGTCCGTCTGTCCGTCTGTCTGTCTGTCTGTTTCTACGCAAACTAGTCCCTCAGTTTTAAAGCTATCTGAATGAAACTTTGCATATAGTCTTCTATATGCTCTCACTGCTATATATGTCGGATCGGGCCGGATCGGACGACTATATCGATAAATTTTTAGAAAAAAAATTATAACTTGGCTGTTTTTCAATATTTTTTCATAATTTGTAGATATAGCCGTTTTATATTATTCCAGAATTTTGGTAAAAATTTTATGAAAATCGGACGACTATATGATATAGCTGCCATAGGAAAGATCGGGAAATTAATATAAATAAAATTATAGCTTCGTTGTTTTTCAACGCATTTTTATTTACTCTGAGATATAAGTTTTTTTATTATTCTAGAATTTTGGTATAAATTTCATAAAAATCGGACAGCTATATCTTATAGCTGCCATAGAAGCGATCGGAAAATTTATAAAATATATAAAGCGGGGAATGTAAAACTGTAACTGTCAAACTGTAAACATAATAAGTATAGGTAAAATGTAATGAAACTCTGTTTTGTGAGTGTTTTCAGCATTTAAATCTATAAAATAAACATCAAAACCAATCTGCAAGGGTATACAAACTTCGGCGTGCCGAAGTTAGCTTCCTTTCTTGTTATATTATAAAGTTAAATGCTGAAAACACTTACGACAGTTACAGTTTGACAGTTACAGTTTTACGTTTTCTTACATCTACCGATCGTTTTTATGGTAGCTATATGATATAGTTGTCCGATTTTCATAAAATTTATAACAAAATTCTGAAATAATGAAATAAGCTTATATCTCAGAGTAGATGAAAATAGGTTGAAAAACAACGAAGTTATACTTTTTTTCTATTAATTTCCTGATCGTTCCTATGGCATCTATAAGATATAGTTGTCCGATTTTCATAAAACTTATACCAAAATTCTAAAATATATTATAAAATATCCATATCTCAAAAATGATGCAGAAATGTTGAAAACAGCCAAGTTATAATTTTGTATCTAAAAATTTATCGAACATTGGTATGGCAGCTATATGATATAGTCGTCCGATCTGGCCCGTTCCGACGGCAGTGATAGTATATAGAAGACTTCATGCAAAGTTTCATTCAGAAAGCTTTTAAACTGAGGGACTAGTTTGCGTAGATATAGTTGTCCGATTTTCATAAAACTTATACCAAAATTCTAAAATATATTATAAAATATCCATATCTCAAAAATGATGCAGAAATGTTGAAAAACAGCCAAGATATAATTTTTTGTCTAAAAATTTATTTTAT